CACTAGGTGGCAGTGTCTAATTGGGATTACTTACTTGAAGTGGCCTTGCCTAGTCTAATGGTGCAGCTTTCTTGGTGTTTTCTGAGTGTTCAGAGGGAGCTTTGCAAATAACATGATTACAAGAGATACAACAGGCAGGAATCAAGAGGCAGTTAAAGCCATAAAATAATACAATGAAGGACGATTAAATAAAAAGTAAACAAGATGGGAACAGTATAAAAAAAAGAAAAAATAAGTAGTGTGAGACAACATCACATTACTGGCACTCACAGAATGAAGATAAAAAGGAAGAATAAAAGAGAGATGGTTAAATGAATATATAAAAGCAACAGAGGGCAGAAGAGTTAAACATTGAAAGGAGTAGGAATGAATAAAGACTAAAAGCGGTAAAATTAATACAGGAAGGGATACATTTAAAAGGCTAAAACATCTAAGGAAGGGTTAAGAGTGATAAAAATAAAATTGAGGGATAGGTTAATAAAAAATATATATTTAAAAGGTGAAATCACATAAAAGCGAGTCTATAAAAGTGAGTTTTAAGAAGAGATTTAAAAGATGTCACTGTCTCTGCCTGCCATACCTCCTTCTTGAACCTTGTAAAACATTTATTTTGCAAATACTTGGTTTCCTTTAGATTTGAGTCTCGACTTTGGAACGACCAGAAGGGTGATGCCTGAGGATCTGAGGTCACGAGATGGTTTGTAGGGGGTTTAAATTTTGCAAATGTAACTGCAAATGAAAGACCAAGACCAGCTTTAAAAGTGATCAGTTAAATCTTAAAATCATTTCTAAAAGTGACAGGTAGCCAGTGGAGGGAAGCGAGGACATGAGTGATGTGATGTCATCTATTAAAACCTGTAAGAAGCCTAGCTGCTGCGATCTGGACCAGTTGGAGGCAGGAAAGTGATTTATGAGTTGTACCAGAAAGAAGGGAGTTGCAATAGTGTAGAAGAGATAATATTCATGAGTTAATAACTTTTTCCAGGTCAGCAGGTGGGAGAATAGATTTTTGAAATAGTTCTTATGTTGACGAAACAGGACTGGTCTACTTTCTTGATGTGTTGTTCAAAGTGCAATGGGTGTGATGTTAGCAGAGAGTGGAGCGAGGGTACTTTCAAACTGGCTGATGGGTGTGGATAATTGAAGAGTATGATTTTTTACTTTGACTCATTTAACTGTATAAAAAAATTAGGCCATCCAACATTCAATATCCTTGAGGCAGTTAAAAACAGCAGCTAGGCTTTTTTGTACACCAGTTCACAGCAGAAGGTATATCTGTCTCTCGCCCGCATATTAATGAAAGAAAGGTTATGGAGCTGGATAATTTTACTGAGTCGGAGCATATATATAGAAAATTAGTGTGGACCTAAAATCGAACCTTGTGGTACACCACAGGTAAAGCAATGGTTACCTATGGTGATCGCAAAGGTTCTGTCTAAAAGTGCAGTGCCATTCACACCATCCCAGGACTTGAGTCGTTCAATTAAAATGGCATGATAAACTGTGTTGAATACCGCACTCAAGTTTAAAAGAATTAAAATTGCACTGTCTCCTCTGTCAGTAGCTAAAAGGAGGTAATTTGTTACTCTGAGGAGAGCTGTTTCTGTACTATGGAGTGCTCTTACACCAGACTGAAACTTCTAAAGGTGTCATTGTCATTCATCAAAGCTAAGATATGTGTTGAAACAACTTTCTCTAAAACTTTGGATAAAAACGGGAGTTTAGAAATAGGCGTAAAATGAATAAGAATAGAATCCACAGCACGTTTTAAGGCAGATAGAAAATGACCAGCTAAAATGAGCTGTTAATAATCGATAAGATACTGGGCCCAACCGTGTCCATAACTTCTTTGAGAAATTTAATCGGTATGGTGTCAAGGCTGCACATAGTTAGATTCATAAAAGATAAAATATCTGAAAAAATCTGAATTTGAATAGGAATAGGATTAAAATTGCTTAAATAATAATAAGAAATGTGTCTGTGTAAATGTAAAACAATGTCAGGCAAGATAATCTGTTGCCTAATGTCATGAGTTTTATTTGTAAAAACTTTTAAAATGTCTTGCATGTCTCATGTGAGGCATCAATAAAATTATTCTACAGTCCCCTCTTGAACAGCATCATTAAGCCAGGGCTGCTGTGTTTTATAAGAATCTCTGATTTTGTACGGGGCAAGTGAAACCCAGGTGGTCCTACAGATATTGTAAAAATTGAAGACTAGGTCCTCCATTTTAAAATTTGAATTAAAAGCATTTAAAGAGGCAGGGATAAAAAGATCAGAAAATTGACGAGCTGATAAAGGTGTAAAAACACGACGAGATATTGGTAAACAGCAGGTAAAAATGATAACACTAAGCTAAATAAAAGCAGTTTATCATCGGACACACAGATATCCTTAGTTTCAAAGTTGTATGGGCTGAGACTGTGGTGTAAAACAGCCTGGGTAATAGCACAGGCGAAAGCAGCTACAAATAGTGGTGGACAATTTGCTGCAAAACCGTGACATCTTATGTTTGCAAGAAACTTTTCTACCAAAGCAGGATTTGGGAAAGTTTAACTCTTTTAATGACAATTTGGCTATCCTCTGGCACAAAAAGCTGGACTCTGTCATTAATGTCATCAGGCTTGAAGTTGACTGGTGTTTTGCTGTGCTGATACAAATTAATAACAAGGAGTTTAGTATCCTCAATGTATACACACCTTATGAGTCGCAACATAATGAAGATGACCTGAATAGACTTTTTTTAAATAAATTATTTTATTTCTGATAATCACTCCACAAGTGATCTGAATGCTGAAATTTCAGGCAAAAGTTCCGTGTTTGCCAAGCTTATGCTACAGTTGTGTGATGATAGCAATCTTATTTTATCCGGTCAAATGCTTCTACCTGCTGATAGCTATACCTACATAAGCGAGGCCTGGCACACAACATCATGGCTTGACCATTGCATCAGCACTCAATCAATAGAGCTTGTGTATGAGGCATGTATGATGATGTCTCTGGAGGTTAAAAATGCCTGTAAGGCTAAACTGGATTGGTCCAAGCTCTCAAATGAGGATAGGTTATTATACTAGAACTGATGTGCTATTGAGTGATGTATATGTACCCAAAGAGGCTATTTTGTGTTCTAATGTGAATTGTATTAGTAGCTCTCACTGTAAGGACGTCTGTACCATGTTTGATTGTGTTGTGCGCAACAAACATGCGCAAGCATTGAGAGGGGACTCTATGGGTGAAAAGCTCCTTGGTAACAATGTTTCTGGCTTCTGGAAGGACGTGAGCGCTCTAAACAGGAATAGTACACCGCTACCATGTCACATAGAGGGAGTCTCTGGAGCTGATAACATAGCTGAGTTATGGAGGCAACATTACTCTACTCTATTTAATTGCGTTAAAAGTGACCCTTACAAAGTGGGTAATATTGTCAATAGTGACACAGACAAAGTTTTCTCAGTGTTCAGATACAGTTAAGGTGAACCTTACTGTACCCCTCTTTATACTGCTCCCTTGTGGGTCAAGTTTAAGAAAGCAAGCATCCAGAAGCTCCAGGTTGCCTATAATGATTGTATGCGTATATTGCTTAAAAAAACAAGATGGGGCAGTGCAAGTGAAATGTTTTGTAATGTAGGAGTCAACACGTTCCAGGCTGTGTTGAGAAATCTGATGCACAAATGTATCTGTCGCCTGAATGATTCTCATAGTTATATCATTATGCTGCTGCCAAATCCTCATCTCAGTACTGTACGATACCAGTCACCTATGTGGAAGCATTGGTATAATTGCCTTATACCAATTTTGTCTTTTTGGTCAGCTGAAGCTGTTTTAAATGTGCTATACAAATAAACTTGACTCAACTATGGTCCTATGTTTACTTACAGTTAACAACATGGTGTCCCTTATTTAAATGTTTAGGAACATGTTTACATTCACGCCTGATGATTTGAACTCATCATAACCTTATCTGTGCAGTGAGTTCACCAAAGAAGCAGCTCATTGGAACCAGTAGTGTGTTGTTAATAAGGATCTTCAACAAAACAAACACGTGAACTGTTGACACACACAACTTCCTGAGAGCCTACTTCTCAGAACTGATATCACAGTGGACATGAAGATCATGACATGCATTTCCTGATGTAGATATTTAGCTGATATTTGTTTTTGTTATCGTCTCATCTTCTTCTTATATAATTACCAAACATTCACATGTAACCTTTCAACATAATTTCATCATGGAGGACATGACTTATTATTATTTTTAAACGCAACATGGGGCCCTTTTAAAGAGAACAGGTGCTATTAACTGGATGAAGCCCTTACCCCCCCCCTTGCTTGACCAAAAAAATCTAACATTATGTACACAATGGAACAAATGACGGCCCAGCTACAACTGAGACTGCCTGTTTTCAAAAGGAGAAGGATAGCAGTTGCTGACAACTTCACTTATGACTTTTCTGTTTGATCTTTTTGTTGTATTTATCTGTAGGTAGGTAGGTACGTATATGTCACTCTATGTGTGTGTATGCTTATGCAGATGATGTCTACATGTTTATATGTGTATACCAAATGTGTAAATGAATAAACCTGTTGGTGCTAATGCTGATAAATGTGTTCTCCCCCTGTGTGGGGCTGTGTCTTTTACAACATGTATGTCATATGAAGCCCAACCTCAAGGTGATACTGTTCTCATTTGTAACTGTTAATTGCTAGTTATTTTGAAACAGTGGCAATAAAAAATAATAAAGAGAACAGTTATTAACTCCTTAATGTTACTGTAAGAGATATCTTTCAGCTATCCCAAAAGCTTGTCAGAAGCCAAATTGTTGAAATAAAAAGTCTGACATGATGAGAAATGCTCTTGGCAGTTAGCGTTCTTGTTGGATCTTAGGCGTAGTCAAAGTTTATAAAAGGTAAACACACAGTGAGTTTCATAAAATGTTATGTTTGTTAGATTTTAATAAGTCAACAAATTCCTGTTTTTGTCTGGAAAGACATTTTTTTTATTGTATGTCATAGTATTATTAAAATGTAATGAGCAAGACTGTGATATAATATTTCATTTTGTCAAATTTACAATACATAGGACCTTCTCTCACATCCTAAAAGCTGACATGCTAACCACTTCATTGTACAGGTAAAGCTTTTATTGATCAGAAGATTAGAAAGTTAAGAAAAGTATAAAGTGTATTTAACTGTCAAGAATAACAACATAGCTAAACAAATAAAGTTTTGTGAGAAATACATTTGTTCTAAAGTGAGAGTGGATTTTGGTCTGATTTCTCCTCATTCTCTCTTCCTCCATCGAGCTTACTGTCAAAATGTTGTCAACATTCATACTGTTGATATGTTGGTGTCAGTGTCGGCAACTCTGCAACAGTTCACAGTGGTAAAAAGCTTACTAATTGACGCTTTCCTAAAGAAAACATACAGAATTAAGTCTGCAAGAGGACTCAGCTTAGCAAACATGAGAGCTAGGTCAGTCAGAGTTCTGTCAGATCTGTTCCTGTTCAGGAACAAAATCGTGATTGGAAGGAACAGCAGTGTGTAAATGAGCAGCACCAGGACCAAAATTCCAACAATTCGTTGTTTTTCTTCAGAGGGGACGGAGACGGAAGCAGAGAGGGCTCTGAGGGTCCCAACCAGGAAGAATATGAACAGTGGGAAGGGAAGGATTAGGAAAATGGCGAAGATGCTTCTTGCCACATCAAAAGTAAACCAGCGAAACACTGTGAGGAAAAAGACAGGAGGTATGAGCCAGACTACAACACTGACCACCACAGAGTTCTTGATGGTCCGTTTGAAGCGGTACCACAGTGGGTGGGCGATGATCAAATATCTGCAATAAAAGATGGACACGTTGTCTTTGAGGAGGTGCAGAATAAGTCAGAATCAGACGTAGCTACAGGACGTATAGTTACCTTTCCAGTGAGACACACACCATGAAGCCAACACTGGTCAGTAGGCCACAATAGTAAGAATAAAATACAATGGTATGAGACTCATGTTGTTTTGTTTCATGAATGAGCATGCAGCAGAGCTGAATGAGGTCAGAAATAAGAAGGTTGATGACGTAGATTGGAGCCACATGATCCTTTCGTACCTGCAGGAAAACATATGAAGAAGACAATCAGTTATAAACATGTTCTGAACTCATCCTTCTCCCAAAAATAACACCTTTTTCTGCCCAACTATTGCAGTAAAGGACATATATGCATTTTTCATCCATCCCTCATTGTGCTGTCAAAGATGTAACACAAATGATACATTGGTATATCTGCAGACATGCAGCTATACTTTTTATTAAAACTGTTTTCTGTTATTTGGTTATTTTCTTGAGATCTCAACTTATCTATCCCCAGAGTTGCAAAAGCATAAAACGAACAGAAATAGGTGTAGGCACTGAAAGCGTGTTGGAGTCTGGTCTATCAGAAGCTTTAAATCTCAAGATAATGTGATCATTGAATTTAGTGAAAACCAGTATTGTTATCCTGAGATATCAAGGGTCCAGAGCTATAGAGAAAACAACTAATAACTATATCATGGTATAATGGAGTAAACAGCTTCTAGATGCATCAATGACATAACAGGTTTGCTGCAGCATTTGCACCTGTATTTCAGGGAGAGTGTCACGTTTGTTTTTGCAACTTTACCTCCTCCAAATAATTAGAGTAGTGTGCTAACAGAGGTTTATTTTGTTTTACACTGAATTAACTTTGGTCACTTTACAACTGTGAGCTTGAAGGAAAAAAGTTCCAAATCCTGTGGCGCATGTAGTAAAGTGGTTAGTGCATGCAGCCCGGTTTCAAATCCGACCTGTGGCTGCATGCCAGCATGTCGTTCCCAACTCTCTCTCTCCCTGATTTTTGGCTTCGTCAACTATATCTAAAAAATAAAGGCATGAAAAGCCCCAAAATAATCCTTAAATTACATACAACACCAATGGGATCTTCATAAAGTGACATCAATCCATGCACACTGCTTTAATACAGTAAGAAATGTCTACCTCTCGTTCGATTCTGATTCTTAGACTGTTCAACAAACACATGGCACAGACAGTAAATGAATAAAGTCATGTAATGTACATACCAGAGAGAAAAGAGCATAGATGGTCATAAGTGTCAGAGGAAGGCCGATACTGATGATGATGCGCGTTACCACGTGCATTATGAATTTGACTTTTTCGAAATACTCATCCTTGATGTATTCATTACTGCCATTCAGGAAGGTGACGTTAATGTAGTTCTCTGTCATTCTTCAGATGAAACCTAAAGTTAAAAAGATCAAGACATAAAATGTGTTGCATAGTGACATAAATGAAGCAAAGACCAGCACTATTGTTAAATAGTTTAGTCAAACTATTTTTTATATTAATTTTTATGATTTAAATTATGCCTTTTGAGTTAGATACAGGCAAATGTTCTTAGTTGATCAAACGTTTTAATCTTTTTATTTTCCATTTGTAACCAAACACAGTATTACTTTTGGTTAAGAAACAGCCATATCAAATCCAAACATAATGCCTCTCAACAGTGTTTTTTCAGACATTTCAAATATCACAATCTGCTAATTGAAAGTAAATAAATGGGTCTTGGATATTCATCCGCTGCCCTGATTCTGCATCTGATTCATCTATGTCATTAGATCATTTAACTCTAAGTCGCAGGGAGAGTTTCATAGATAACCACAAAACTCTTCTTCACACCTCAGCTGCTGTCATTTCCTGGAAAATTAAAACATTTCTAGAAATACATCTCAGTGAGTTATGTTGGTTTGGAACAAAGAACAAGGAAACAATGTGTGATTTTATTAAGAGAAATTTTTTTTTTTTTTAATTTGTTAAAAAATAAGAAGTTTATTTTCAAATAACTGTCAAGATATTTATTTCATTACGTTACATTTTTGTGTCTTATTTTTCACGCAAACACATGCTTGTCATTTTAACAAATAACAGAGTAACCACCCCCACCAAATAATAATATATCATTGATATATCATCACGTTTATATTTATTCTCAGGATTGTTTGTGCTTCCTTTTCTTTTCAATTGTATATTTGTAATAAGACCACAAGACTGACATTTTAAAGTTACCAGATCTCACCTGAATGAAGTCCCAGCACCAATGTCTGATGTTTCTCTGCAGCCAAACTGTCTAAAGTGATTTAGATAAGTGGTGGTCCACACTTAGTTACTGATGATATAGCACATCTCTTCTCAGGAAGTGAGAAAAAAAAGAGTCAGGCATGATAACGTATCTAGTGAGGGAAGAAGAAATTGCAACACAAGCAGAAACTGTTTGAAATAAGAAAAGAAGATACCTTCTTCTTTACATCATAGAACTAGCAGAAGTCGTAGTAGCTGTGGTAGAATTAGTTTATTTTTATGTCATGCACCAAAAGGGGGCCCAGCCGGCCAGCTCAAAAGGGATTACAAGACACAAGAAACAAGTTAATGTCAATCAATGACAAACCTAAAATGAATACTTCCATGTGCCTGGGCTATATCTTAACTAAATAAAGAATAATTTATCCTCTTCCACAACTGGAAATCATTTAATACAAACTGAGCATGAAAGGCTTAGCGCAATCCATTGTTATTGAATCAGGCTCCAATAGCACCATCAATCGGGCAGGAATAGTACCCATAATCTGCCCCTTTTAAGCACACAATCCACAAAAGAATTTGCACAAAAGATATGTTGATGCTTAGACGCCCACATACAGTAGCTGTCTTGCTCTGTGCAGTTTGCTCATTTTTTGTGTCTGAATGTGGAGAAAAGCTGTCTGCACATTTGCTCTTCACGGTGTCACAACCTAGCTCATCAGTCTGCGACAAATGAGGGAGACCACACATAGACGGCAAAATTATACAATATATTAATTGAATATATAAATTACAAGGTGATATGCTTGTGAGGAAGTCAGTTTGTGTGTTAGTGTGTGAGGATGAATAAGTATAGATCTCCAACACAATACAAAACAAACAAATGCTAAAACCAGTCTGCAGGCTAGGGAAGAGAGTAAGAATACTGAGCAGGTCTGCTTTATAGCCTCCTGAAATCAGCCTGCTCAGGTGTGTTGCATTACAGTGTCCTCTCAGACTCCACCCACATCTACCTGCAACAAGGGGTACGTCTCAGTTCCCTTGGTTGCATTCATGCATCCCTCACTTGCCCCCTCACCTTGCATCTTAGTCCCTCCCACCAGAGATGCAAACACTGAAAACTAATTATTAGGTTCTAAATTATAGGGGAAACAGAACACAAAACATTTTCCAAACAGGAAGATCATTAATGATCACTCTTTTATGAAACTTTATTAACGTAAATAACAATTAACATAAAATGTGTTTCTGACTGACAGACTTCCACTCTATCAGCCTGTCCTTCTCATCATAATAAATGAAACAAGCGAACTCCATTATATTGATTATATAGAACTTGTTCTTAATATTTTGTTGTAAATCTTCATGTAAAACACTTTTTTTTAATCCCAGTTCATCACAGACCGACTCTTCACAAACTGACAGATGTTTACAGTCTGTTTAAATATCCGATGTGTCCGTTTAGCATCTTTTCAGTGTCTGTCTTTTCTCCGTTATTGAACTGTCGAAAAATTTTATTGAAGTCAGATACGCTGCAGCATCTAATCAGTGAGTGTTCTTCAATAAGGGGGCGTGTCTGTCAGTAAAAAGACTTCCGTAAAGTCAGCTCTTGTGTAGCCTCGCTCTTCAGATCTCCCTCCTCTATCCTCCTTTTACTTATATGAGCTTTGGGACTTTCCTTAACATGGCGAGTCTAGAACTACTTCCAGTTCGGCCGAGGAGCGAGGAGACAGTATTTAAGAGAACTGAGATGCAGGGAAAGAGAGCACAGCCAGCAAAGAGGAAGGCCGAACAGGAACAGGAAGAGGTCCAAACCTGAGGCTGTCACAGCCCCCCCTCCCCCTCCCCCTGGTCAAAGACAATAATTAAGTTAACAATCGGTAGCTAACAATGAGTATGCATACTTAGCATCTATCTACAAACACACTTTAGAATTTTAATGTTTAAGTTGAAAGATTTTTAATTCTCACAACAACTCCAATCAAACTGTCCTCACTCTTGAAACTCCTCCCCTGTCAGACTCAGCATCTCCAACCTCGGCCGCCTTGGAGCCAACAGTTTAAGAGGACGGAAAGAAAAGACTGCAGACGATTGTAACAAAAAGATATGACGATGTTTTGAAAGTAACGGAGAGTTACAAATGTGCACATGACAAGGCATTAGCCGACTAAACCTTGGCATCAACTGGCCTCACATGACCCTAACATCTTTACCAAGATTTCAGATTCACAGTCATATTTGCATCAGCTAGACGTTCAAACAAAACTCGTATTTGACTTGATCTTCCCAGGTGTTACTATATATTACCACATCATCAAGGTAAACAGCACAACCTTCAAGTCTATTCACAACCATGTTCATCAGCCGTTGAAATGTAGCTGGTGTGTTACGCAATCAAAAACCCATGAAAGTACCAAGGAAATCATGTCCTGTAGTAAAAGAGACCAATGCTTTATCTCAAGCTTGTGTGGGGCCGTCAACCTTAACACTAAGAGCTTTTTAGCGGCTGTTAGAACTAAATGTAATAGTATTCACTGTGATACTGAGATGATACAGAGTCATCATTCAGGAGTAACACATGACAGGAGTTCATTGCTAACGAACGTAGGACCAAAATTGGCTTCTTTTGAAATTAAAAAAAAAGAACTCGGAAATTGAACAGTCTCCTTGGTTTGGGATGCGAACGACAGTTGTCCGTGAAACCCATGGAGGCCAAAGAAGGAAGAGCCGAGGCCATCTCCCATCTCCACAGCAAGCGGAGTCTGCTGCACCCTGTCCCAGCAGAGAGCACCGATGGGCCCCCTGTACCTGTGCCTACTGAGTGCCGTCAGCCTCCTGTGCCTGCTGAGCTCCTCTGGCCCACTGTTGCAGAGTCTTCCTGGTTGACCCACGGCGGTACGGCAGACTCCTGTGTCTCCATGGGAGGTCCTGCCGACTCCTGTTTACTCGTTGGAGGCCCTGACCACTCCTTTGTCTCCGTGGGAGGCCCGCCCTGTGCTATAAGCTTAAAGGGATACTTCACCCGTTGCACAGCACTGCACGCCACTCCCAGTGAGGTCCTCTACAGACATTTACTTCAACACATACGGCAACTGATTACGAAATTTCTTCCAGAAGGAATTGGCATCTTGTAAATTCCTGTAAGAAAACGGACTCTATGTCTGTGTCCTTAGGCAAACAGTGAGAGCACCGACACTACCAGTCCGCCCCAGCTCGAGCCGCCCTAGGGCTCCTCGTCCTCACTGCAGCAGCCGAGGCATAACACCCGCCTGTCAGCAGCAGCTGCCTCGCCGTTATATTGCGGTTTGTAGAGATAACCACGAACATCCGTTTCGAGCACAAGACCATCAAAATCCCCTTCATCCATTTCCATTGAAAATATAAAGAACTAGCGATGTAGTTTCAGCCCTGCTAACCACAACAGCCGCCGATGACGCAAAATGATGATTTTTGCGTCATCAGAGGCTCCTTGTCAGGCTTAGAAATACAAAGATATCCCATCTCAGGGGAAAATGAGGGCGGGATGCAAAGCTTAATGCAAATGGGTTGAAGAAAACGGATGGATAGATGGAGCATAAATGGAAAATAAAAGCAGTCTCAGTACGTATTATATATTACTTTATATTGATGAGTGAGGTCAACAACTGTCAGCGAATGACAAAAAAATTATAAAAAGGAACACAACTATCGCAGAGCAAGAATCATGCAAGTTCATCATTTCATCAAATAAGCTCATTTGCAGCCTTTTCATAGCCAAAGTTTCAGTAAGAACAGCTGTTTTCAGTCCGAGACAAGATAAGTAAGTAGGACTTTGGTCCTATGTTAACTTACAGTTAACAACAACATGGTGTCCATGCAAAGTCCTGTTTTGTAACTAATGCTGCAATTTTAAATATTATTGCAAATTGAAAAATACACAAGAATGCTGGAACGTAGTCACTAAGGAACTAGGGGAACTGGCACAGAAGGAGGGGAACGCAGAGACTAAATGTTCAAGGGGAGTGGAGAAAACAGACGGAAGGGCAGGAAGCAAAGGATCTGAAACGAGACACAAGGGCCCTTTCCGAATACCCACAGTTCAGTAGGCAGTACGTACTTTTCAGTAGAGAGAAAAACATAGAGAGTGCAAAACGTAAATTGTAACTTCACTTGCGCCTCCAAATCAAAACAAACGAGCATAGATTAATTTAAACCTAACCCGATTTTAACCCGACTGAAATCGCTGCTTTTAGTTCACAACAAAAAATGTAAAAAATGTCTGCAGTATTATAAAACCTTTTCCCTCTATTTAAATAATGATTTCACTATTTAAATGTGTCTTTATTGGTTTACTTTATATTCTGTATATTATTGTCTTTCATTTGTACTTTATGCGCATTACTCTTCTTGAATAAAGCTAAACAAACAAACAAACAAAAAAACGGGTGAATGCGGCCGGTTCGGGTAACGTCAACGACGCCAATTCCTTACTGAATGAATCAGACAAAGTAGGAACAAATATCTGCCTACTGTGCGCGCCTACTGAATAGTAGGTACTAAACAGTATACAGCACGGATAGTAGATACTGTCTACTGCCTACTGACAGATTGAATAGGAAATTTCCTAGACAACACCTACTATCCGTGCTGTATACTCTTAGTATCTACTGTTCAGTCGTAAAAGACAGATTAAATAATAAAATAACATACAGTACATACAGTAAAGTATGAATGAAAGACAATATTATAAAGTAAAATAAACCAATAAAGACACATATATGTGGAATAAATATATATATAAATATAAATATGGAAATCGTTATTTAAATTGAGGGGGAAAGGTTTTATAATAATGCATAAATCTGTTACATTTTCTGTTGTTAATTAAAAGTAGCAATTTCAGTAGGGACTTTAACTCTAGATTAAACATTGATTCACTAATCCACGCTCGTTTGTTTTGATTTGGAGGCGCACTTGAAGTGACGTTTTTCTTTAATTTCGCACAGCATTGTGGGTGGTAAAATTACAATTCATTTCCTGAAAGGATGCATCCGATCCATACTGCATGAAACCCGGAGGTTAGTATCCATACTGAAATGTTCAGTATACTGAGGTGGACCCAAAAAATGCCTACTGAATGACCACGAAAGTTCAGTATACTGAAACTACCTACTGAAAAGTACGCACTGCATACTAAACTGTGACAATTCGGAAAGGGCCAAGGTAAGTATCAACATTAAGGAAGCACAAGACATAAAACATGAAAATAACAGGAGAAAGAAACTATACTTTACTGTAGACATGACATTTTGTGTGTGTTAATAATTTGTTTATGAATACACGGTCTGCCAAGCCAAAAATAAAGTAACACAAAACAAGTCATACATCTGATGTCTCCCTTGCACACAAGTTGCACAAGTGCACAGAAGTATGAGAAGAAATAATGAAATTATCAAAATGTTGTTGCAATCAATAAAAAGAAGTGGAGGGAAAACTTTGATGAACTAATACATGAGGCTTCACTTGTTTGTTTTATCAGACATATGAGCCTCTCCATCCCCCAACGGGACATTAAACAGGAGGAGCACAACTACAAGAATGTTCCGGTACCTTTACTGAAAAATATATTTTTAAAACTATTCTTTCTGCACTTTCTTGAATTGTGTTACTGAAGTTATTCTGTGTATCGGTTAATGCCCAACAAGATGTCAGGTTGTATAAACAACTTGGAGGCCTGAACAGTCTGACACATAATGCATCCATAAAAAAAACTGATTCTGAACATATCAAAGGGCTTTATCTTGCTTCTTCCATGGCCTCACGCTAAAGAAAAAAATATTCCTCTACACTGAAGTCTTTTGCTTTCAGTTAGGTGTTTATTCCTTTTCTTTTTTTTCTGTGAACTATTTTATTTTATTAACATATTTCTGTGTGAAATGGTTTTGTACATAGATTATCATTATTGTATAGAAACAGTTGTAAGTATTTACTTTAAAAGCTTTGGCAGTATTTTTCCCTGTTATTTTTTATTTCACAAATGTATTATGTTACTCCTTTAGTTCCCCTAGACATAATAAGGTCATAACAGTGACCTTAACGTCAAAATGTTACAATTACAATTCACTAAGCAGATGCTTTTATCCAAAGGGACGTACATCAGAGAGTAAGTACAACACTAATCCATTCATACACCGCCACTGAAGCAGCGGGAGCAATGCAGGGTTAAGTGTCTTGCCCAAGGACACATCAGACATGTTGCTCAGCTGGGGATTGAACCCTCGACCTTCCGGTTGCAATCAACATAAAACATTTTTAACATGCTGTCACTTAATTCCCGGAGGTAGCTCGAGTAGTCTGATACTTCAAAAAGTCACTCCCATTTTATAAGATTATATTGTAATGGAAACATTGTTCACGACTCTAGTTAATAAAACATATCTTAGGTTCAACTTAGAAATGGGAGATATAGAAGTCTGCCTAGCTCACATGCTTTTTTAACAGCTATGGGCCACAAAGCTAATGGCGTGCTATCTAGATTCAGAGTTTGTGAGATGATAACTTGTGTAATTCAGAGTATTATTTAAATGTCGGTGGGCTGTTTACTTATTGGAGTTGTGTGTTACAGGCGCCATCCTGTGGTGTACAGAGGAGGTGGTATTAGAGGACTGCACTTTGAACAAAAGTACATCCCTTCTCTCTCTCTCTCTCCATAGTATTTCTCCAGTTTTGTCCTAGTAATTCAAGTTAATTTCATAAATTTTCCAAAATTGAGCTGACTTTATGAGAATCTCACAATTTTCACAAACACTGGATATTTTCAAATTAAAGCCTTGTACCTTTCATCATTTCCTCGTCTTTTCTTTTTATATGAAGTCTTAAGGGTTAAAAGCTGAGCCATATAATCTGCAATGTGGAGACTTTTCACTAGATGGCAGTGTCTAGTTTGGGTTGCTTACTTGAAGTGGCCTCACCAACTCTGATGGCGCAGCTTTCTAGGTGTTTTCTGAGTGTTCAGAGGAAGCTTTTTGACCTCTCAATTTTCTGCATTTAAGAAATGCCTTTTTGTGACTTTGGGAGTTCTTTGAAGCATGATGACATATGTCAAAGAATACTTTAGTATATAACTATAAGTTGTATAGTGTAGATGGTCTGTTAGTGTCTGTTAAACATTACTTATAATAAGTCCTCTGACTGTATCCAGCCAGATAATCAGATTTCAAGCATATGTGCAGATCATGTATAGCAGTCTGAGATAAAGTGTTTCTGAATAGATGTGGTGATCATTTTTGTAGTAGCAGCTCTTATGGAGATCTTTCCTTGAGTGTACTCTTGTGTTCAAGGCTGTTTTCATGTTTTATCATTTAAATTTTTCTACATCAGTGCCCACTTCTTGAAAAAAGTATTACATCACTCTCATCAAGGTCCTCATCATGCACTTTGTCTGTGTGACAGTGGTGGGTGGTGTGTTTGAGTCAGTGCAGGATATTGCAGCTGCCCTAGCCTGTTAAATGCTGAGATACTCATCTCTTTTATGTCAACATGTATGTCATATGAAGCCCAACCTCAAGGTGATACTGTTCTCATTTGTAACTGTTAATTGCTAGTTATTTTGAAAAAGTGGCAATAAAGTTATTACAAAAATTAATGAAGACAACAGTTATTAACTCCTTAATGTTACTGTATGGGATATCTTTCAGCTATCCAAAAAGCTTGTCAGAAGCCAAATTGTTGAAGTAAAAAGTCTGACATGATGAGAAATGCTCTTGGCAGTTAGCGTTCCTGATTGGATCTTAACTAGGCGTAGTCAAAGTTTATAAAAGGGAAACACACAGTGAGCTTCACAAAATGAAATGTCTGTTAGATTTGAAAAAGTCAACAAATTCCTCTTTTTGTCTTGAAAGACATTTTTTTTACTGTATGTCATAGTATTATTAAAATGTAATGAGCGAGACTGTGATATAATATTTCATTTTGTCAAATTTACAATACATAGGACCTTCTCTCACATCCTAAAAGCTGACATGCTAACCACTTCATTGTACAGGTAAAGCTTTTATTGATCAGAAGACTAGAAAGTTAAGAAGAGTATAAAGTGTATTTAACTGTCAAGAATAACAACATAGCTAAACAAATAAAGTTTTGTGAGAAATACATTTGTTCTAAAGTGAGCGTACATTTTGTTCTGTTTTCTCCTCATTCTCTCTTCCTCCATCGAGCTTACTGTCAAAATGTTGTCAACATTCATACTGTTGATATGTTGGTGTCAGTGTCGGCAACTCTGCAACAGTTCACAGTGGTAAAAAGCTTACCAATTGACGCTTTTCTATAGAAAACATACAGAATTAAGTCTGCAAGAGGACTCAGCTTAACAAAAATGTTAGATAGATCAGTCAGAGTAATGTAAGGCTTGTTTATCCTTACAATGAGCCAGATCGTGCCGGGCAGGAACAGCAGTGTGTAAATGAGCAGCACCAGGACCAAAATTCCAACAACTCGTTGTTTTTCTTCAGAGGGGACGGAGACGGAAGCAGAGAGGGCTCTGAGGGTCCCAACCAGGAAGAATATGAACAGTAGGAAGGGAAGGATTAGGAAAATGGCGAAGATGCTTCCTGCCACATCAAAAGTAAACCAGGGAAACACAGTTAGGTAAAAGACAGGAGGTATGAGCCAGACCACAACACTGACCACCACAGAGTTCTTGATGGTCCGTTTGAAGCGGTACCACAGTGGGTGGGCGATGATCAAATACCTGCAATAAAAGATGGACACGTTGTCTTTGAGGAGGTGCAGAATAAGTCAGAATCAGACGTAGCTACAGGACGTATAGTTACCTTTCCAGTGAGACACACACCATGAAGTCAACACTGATCCATAGACCACAAGAGTAGATATCATATACAATGGTCTGATCCAGTTTTGTCTCCACAATGAGCATGCAGCAGAGCTGAATGAGGTCAGAAATAAGAAGGTTGATGACGTAGATTGGAGCCTCATGATCCTTTCGTACCTGCAGGAAAACATATGAAGTAGACAATCAGTTATAAACATGTTCTGAACTCATCCTTCTCCCAAAAATAACACCTTTTTCTGCCCAACTATTGCAGTAAAAGCCATATATGCATTTTTCATTCATCTCATTTTAGCATGTAAGCACACAAAAATCTGCTTTATTCTTGAAGTAGCATTAAATACAAAGAACAGCTGGAGTTTATAATAATGGCATTACTTTTGCTGGTTGTCAGTCATAAACCAATTTGGATAATTTGACCTGATGATGAGGCCAAATTAAAATAAACAAGGGATCACAAAAGTTATTAAGATTCAGCCTCTGCCCACCATGGATGTTTGTACTGTATTTTCTGGTCGCTGCACACAGTAGCTAATGAGTAATTCCACAGAAAGAAGTTGATCAATTTGTCTCGTTTAAGGAAAAGGAACACAGTTTAAGAGCAACTGCAAAAAACTGTGCAGAGTATGTATAGGAACATTAGTTTCAACACATGAGAAAGTTTGCATACGCGCTGCTCAGACAATTAGCAGCCGGAGCTATCGTAACCTGAACCAGGGACACTTTGCTGTCTATATTATCATGCTACGGGCTAAACTTCTACAGAAATGAGCTGACTTGGCTTTCAAACACCCGCTAATGTGTCGACAACTTTTCTCATCGTGCATCAGTCAAAGTCTGCCCAAATAACTCTGACATATAAGGTTAGCATGCGTTGCTAACTCATCATCAGGGGACAGTAACGTTATTCTGACATTCTGGTCGTTATATGATATAGACTGAATGGATTTGTGTTGAAACACCCAATAACTATGATGCAATGAAATAAGACAATGTTTATAACGAGTACTCACCAGTTCAACAGCAGCAGTGCCAGCTCGGTATCGGACTTACAGTCCACCGTTCCCCGAAGCTCTCTCCAACATGTAAAAGCCTCTCCAATATTTACTTTTGTCCGGTCTCTTGTTCAGTCACTCTCTTTATTCTTTATTTGATTCCTAGCTTCATCCGTCAATGTGCTTTTCCTCTTGGCCATACAGAGACGGGCTTACTCCTAATATTTACAGTCTCGGCTAACTCCAAGGACTTGTAAACTAGTGCTGTAAAGCAGTATGTACCTCTCACAAGATGACCGTGAGTACGGTCAACTTCCACCAGTTGCGTGGTCAGTCTGTTTCCGCTGCCGCAACAGGGAAGGGATAACGAGAGAAACAGAGTCATGGCGTGTTGACGTTTACCACAAAAAAATGTAACATGAAAAACTCAACATTAGCCATGGCAGTTGGCTATGATTTTGGCAAAAAAAAAATAGATTTCAAAATCCAGTGACACTCCCAAGTTCACTGCATTTGGAGATGATCTTTAAGGCATTGACCTAACGTACTAAAAAATAAATTATGTCCCCTAGGTGTGAAATGAACGCTATCTTTTTAAAATAGCTCAGGACTGTCATGTCTAATGTGAGGGTACTAAATCATAGCACTACTTATGGTTCTGACAAATGTAACCATAATACTGTAAACAAATTTTTGAGATTTGTCAGTGTTCCCTGCATTACTGCCAGGCTTCCAATGGCATCTCTGGGTGAGGGCAGACAACATGATTTTCATGCAAAGATGATGAAGGTTCTCCTTCATCTGCTGCTTCTCTGTGTTTGGTTATTGCTCTGGGGACAGAGAGCAGATCTGTTTCTTCACTCTTTTGTAGTTTAACTAGACATATGCTGGACTGTCCAGAGGTACTAACGATACAGTCAGCCAGACTGTGGGCCGAGGTATAGGAATAGATTCTGTTCTGTTCAGTTGTTACACAGAGCATGGTCTTATATATTGTTAATCAGTGTGACATTTTCCATTAGTGACTGTATTCTTTGACACATACATAAATATTCTAATGCAAGTGTTTTTTAAACACATTTGAGACAATGAAAGAAATATGTATTGTTATTGTGTCAACACCACATAGCAGCACTAACTGTAATACTTGTGTTTACAGGATAAGAAGGCTTCAGGTGTGGACCTCCTTCCTGTCCTCACCTGTGTCTTCCGAGACAATATCATAATTCAAAGGCCCTAATTGAGATATGACTAGGTAAGGGTCAAGCCATTTTGGTGCCAAACCTTGCAGTGTATTATTTTTCGGCTTTACAATAGGGATTTGATCGTAGCCATACCCTTAGCCATCTCATCACTTTTTGTCATAGTTCTGTTTTCGTCTGCAGTGTCCTTTATCTAGGTTCTCCTGCACAGAGTCTGTGAGTTCCTGGAGGTCTGATACCTTCTTGTAGGGGGCGATCCGGAGCAGGAGTCCATTGCTGAAACATGACATCAAGGCGGCCCCTGAGGGACCGGCCCAGCTTCAGCTCTGCAGGGGTGATACCAGTGGACTCATGAACAGCAGAGTACAGAGCAAAGCGGAAGTCTGGCAGGTATTTATCCCACTTTTTATGCTTGTACGCAACTTAGGAGTCTATCATGGTCTTCAATGTGCGGTTAATTCTTTCAGTGAGGTTTTGTTATGGATGGTAGGCTGAGGTATGTTTCTGTTGCAGGTTCCAGGTCTGACAGGTTCCTCTGAAGATACCGTAAACAAACTGGGGGCCCGTGTCTGATAGGATGTAGTCTGGCACAGCCCACCAGGTGAGTATTTAGTTAACCAAGACTTTGGACACTGCATCTGCTGTGGCTTTTCTCAAAGGGTACAGCTCAACCCATCAAGTGCAGTAATCAACAAACACCACCAGGTAGACGTTGCCACTGGAACTTCTGGGGAAAGGGCCCATGAAGCCCACCCCCAGCATCTCCCAAGGTTTATGGACAATGGTCTGCTAAAGCTTTCCAGCCAATTTGCGGCTTTCAGGTTTATATTTCTGACAAATTTGAAAGTTTGGTACACGTCTTTACAACCAAGCTTGTACCAGGCCAATATACAAAAGCTTGCAGACATTTGTAGGCTTTATAGTGTCCGAGGTGACAAGATATAGTGTCTTGGTGGACCATCTGCAGAAGGGTCTCTCCGAGGCGTTCTGGTATGTGGACTTGGTAAGTAGTCTTGTGCGGAAATTGCAAAAGTCTGTAGAGCTTATCCTCCGAGATTGTGAACGTTGCAGAATGTTTCACTGGGAGCTCTCCATCATCCATGATGGTTTGATATATTTATGGGATTTCCACGTCCTCCTACTGAGCTCTATTTATATCTCCTCATCCGTGAAGGGGAGTTCCTGGTGAGATTCCCCTGGACGGACAGTAGGGTAGCAAAGGCTGCTTGATCCCTGATGAGTGTCACTGTTGCCTTTTTGTAACGGTATAACAAGACCCAAAAATGTCATTTTTATGTTTAAAATTAATTTCATTTTTTTTTGTGGTTTTTTTGTGTTTGTCACTGTTATATATGGTGTCTGTTATACTTCCCCACCAATACTGCACTGAGAATGTGAATTCCTGTAGGCGGAGGACCCAGCGAGTAAGGTTAGAAGTAGGTTGAATACCCAGACCAGGAAGGGGTGGTCTGTAAGCACGCTGAAGTAGTAACGACCACACCACAACCAGACACTAATTTTCAGTGGCAGAGTAGATTCTATCGCCTTTGTTTAGGCTTCGGCTGCAATAAACCAGTACCTCCTTTGATCCTAAACCTGTTTACTGGACCAGTACAGCCCAGAGACCAACATTGCTTGCATCATTACATAAAAGAGCTGTTGGAATGGAATTTGGGCACCTACATGACTCCTTGTTCTGATTGGCTCGTTCTCAAAGTCCCTCGAGCTTTAACTGAACTCAGTAAATCAGCATTTTCTTTTGATGTCCCAAGCCCTTGGAACACCCTCCAGCAAACTCTAAGGCACAGTTGGCACCACTCTGCTAATCATCTTGTCTATAAAAGCCTGGTCTTCACTCCACTACTCTGCCAGATAATTCCATCTTGTTCTGTAGTGTCTCCTAGTTATTTTTTTTGCGAATGATTGAGCTGCTTACTTTGCAGTGTATTTTTGTGCTCTAGATATTTTTTGTTCTGACCTGTGTTTTCTTGTTCTCAGGTAGTCCGATGTACCTCGCTGTTCACCAGTTACTTTGTCTGAGTTTCCTGTGTCATCTTGAGGAGAACTTTTCTGGTCAGCCAGCTCCCTGCCGCCACTGCCTGCACTTTTTAAACATTAAACAGGTTTTTTTACATTGTATTACCTGCTTCAGTCTCTGCTTTGGGTTTGATTTAAACTGAAACCTTAACAACTGTACTAGTAATCTCGATGGCATGAGGGAAAGCTCAGTGTCCTTTCAAGAATAAATAAGGATTGAAATAATGAAAAATGAAATTGTGTACACCACAAAGGGCAGGTCAAAATTTCGATGACCTAAGATGTGTGGCAACACCAGGTGGGCTTTTAGGGCTTACTGGCATTCAGAGGTACACCCAAACTTGACTACTTTTTTTCAGGGCATTTAGGGGATTTGCAGTTTGGGAAAATTTGGGCACAAATCGGTGGTACCAGCCTGCCATTCCCAGAAATCTTGGAACAGCCTTGAGGTTAGTAGGTACTGGAAACTCCTGCACAGTCTTTGTCTTTTCTGGATCTGCCTGGACCCCGGCCGCAGAGACAAGGTGGCCCAAGAAATGTAGTGTTTTGAAATTTTCTTCATGTTGACGGTAAGATTTGCTTCTCTTAATTTATCCAAGACAGCTTGAATGTCTGAAGACTGTTGTTTGTATCATGCTGAATAAATGATGTCGTCCATAAACAAGGCAACAGTGGATTTCTTATTTCGCTCAATAAGGTTGCTGCTTGATGGGAACATCCTAAGTGAGTGAGATTTTAAGGGTGAGCACTTCAGTGCATCCTAATGTCATGAGTTGGTCTTATTTAGTTTTGTATTTTTGTGTATTTCAGAGTTTAGGTTTCCATGTTTTAATGTATCCTGTCTATAATCGTGTTGCTTGTTTCCCTTGTGTGTTTTTGTCTTAATGTGTCCTGTTTTTATTTAGTAAAGTTTCTCTGTTCGAGTGTGTATTATTCTTGAGTTCTCTGTGTCTTTAGTGTTTCGTGATTCATACTGGAATTCTAGTCCTCAGTGTTTCTTGTCATAATTTTTGTCTCTGTGTTTCCCTCCACAGAGACAAAAATTGCCCTCATTGTCTTCACCTGTGTCATTATACTCGCCTGTGTCTGATTACCCCTGTGTCTATTTAGTCTCAGTGTTCTTTCCCTCTTGTTGTCAGTTCAATGTAAGTTGTTGGTTGTTAGTTGTTGGATGTTGGCTGATGGATGACGGATGACGGATGACGGTCTATGTCGGTCTTATACTTAACTGTGCTTCCCAGTGTTTTTCCTAGTGGCTCCTTGTTTCCCTTTTTGATCTTAGTGGATTTTGTTGGACATTTTGAAGTATGTTTTTGTTTACCTTTTTGTTTAATTAAATATTTTATTTTGGTTTCTGAAATTGGGTCCAGTTCCTTCTTTTCCACAACGGAGACACCTAATCTGGTTGTGCAGATATCACTGTTCCTCTGCAATTGCTCAAGGAGGCAGCTCTTCCCAGGAGCATCCAGAAGCTCTACATCTATGGAGCTTGGCTTGAGCTTCTGGGGTTGATGGCCGAGAAGAATCAAAGTTTTTCTCTCAATCCCTAGTCCTCCGGATGGTTGGTGCCTTGTTCAAAGCAATATTTCACTGCCGGGTTAGAGTGAAAGCTATACTGATTTCTTCTAACATCCATGTGCAGGCCAATCATACACATAAAGTCCAGGCCTAACAACACATGGCAAGCCAGGGCTTCTGAAGACAAAACCACTACAGTCAAGGTACAGGTGTGTCCTTGTAAGGTGACAGTACGGTCCTGCTGTCCCAAAGGCCATCTCCCTTCACCATCAGCTAGTGGATAAGTACGGAGGATCTCCTGACCAAGGGTAAAGGTTGGCCCCTTCCTGATTGACAGTGTGCCACAACTTGTCATTAAGAAGGGTGTATGAAGAGCCTGAATCCACCATGGCCATCCCCTGCTGCCTACCAATTATCAGGGTTACAAACAGTTGGAGTGATAGAGATCTGTTGGGTACAAAAGGTAAGGCAGCTGCCTGTGACAACACATGCAGTGTATAATTGTTTCCTGCAGAACACTCTGGTGAAGAGTGATTTTGTAGTTGGGGTTGTTGAGCTGAGGTTTACGTCACCGCTTTTATTAACAGAGCAGCGTCAATCCTTGGAGCTAATTGGCCAAAGAGTGAGTCGTTACAGGGCCAGGAGCGAACCGCAGAATATTGCTTTTTGGTGAAATTAATCTTTCAGACAGTGTCCCCTTGCCACAGTAACATTGCTAAATGGTGCTTAGTTTGGCTGTTAGCCAGTTCCCAGGCAAAGAGAGAGCCCTCCCTCTTCCTTAGGTCGTGCCTAGATTCCACTGTAAACTCGATTGCAGAGTGTCGCCATGAGATGGCGCTTCTGTCACAAGAAAACATCAACCTACAAGTCAGGCCTAGTTCCTTAGTCTATAAATATTTTATATTAATAATCTAAATCCACAAAATACCCTTTTATATGAACACTGGAACACCTCTTTTAGCCTAACTGAAGGAACCCAGCTGCTGAAGGAGGCAATGAACGACTACATTCAGAGTTCCCTGGCAGCAGGTATCATTCGTTCCTCCTCCTCTCCTGCTGGAGCCGGGGTTTTTTTGTGGATAAGAAGGACAAGTTGTTACACCACTGCATTGACTACAGAATGATATCACGTTCAAGAACAGGTATCCTCTTCCACTCATATCCTCTGCTTTTGAACAGTTGCAAGGGGCTTCCATTTTCACCAAATTGGATTTAAGAAATGCATATCAACTAGTTCGCAAACGAAAGGGGGATGAATAGAAAACGGCTTTTAACACACCTAATGGCCACTATGAGTATCTAGTCATGCCATTTGGTCTCACTAATGCCCCAGCAGTTTTTCAGGCCCTGGTGAACGACATTCTGAAGGACATGTTGAACAAGTTTGTTTTTGTCTACATTGATGACATTGAGATTTTTTCCAAGTCAGAGGAAGAGCATGTGCAACACATACATCAGGTTCTTTGGCAGTTGTTGGAGAATCAACTATTTGTCAAGGCGGAGAAATGTGAGTTTCACCAGTGTTCTGTTTACTTCTTGGGGTTCATTGTTGAACCTGGCAGTTTGAAAATGGACCCCGAAAAGGTTAGTGATGTCACAGACTGGCCTGCCCCCACCGACAGAAAACAGCTGCAAAGATTTTTAGGGTTTGCTAACTTCTACAGACGTTTTATCAGGAACGATAGTTCTGTTGAAGCCCCTCTCCATGCTCTCATTTCCCAGGAACAAGAGTCGCATGGTGTGTGTGTGTGTGTGTGTGTGTGTGTGTGTGTGTGTGTGTGTGTGTGTGTGTGTGTGTGTGTGTGTGTGTGTGTGTGTGTGTGTGTGTGTGTGTGTGTGTGTGTGTGTGCGCGTGCGTGCGCCTATGATGGACATTTCATGTGCAAAACATTGCGATGTTAGATGTTTTTGTACTGTATATGTTGTATTTGTTGCTGAGTGATGTTTGATGTTTTTATATGTTGTATTTGTTATCTGCCAAGGGTCTGCAGATGTAAATTAGCCTAAGACTCTGCAGCCACATGTTCGATGTGTTATCCGTCGTATGTATGTGCTGTATTGAGAGCATTATTACTTTTTCTATAACCTGCTGGTTCCACTCCACCACCCTCCAGAACAGAAAGCGCCTGCAGAGCACGGTCACAGTCTGCTCTACGATCATTGGACTACCTGTAAGGACTTTGACATTGATCTATGAGTAACAGACAATCAGGCTAGCAGGTCGGATTATGCAGGACCCCTCACACGCTCTCTTCCCAGCGTTTGAGTGGCTCCCCTCAGGACGCCGGCTTCGCTGTCCCTGCTGCAGGACACAGAGGAGAAGAGCAACCTTCGTTCCCAGGGCTGTCCAGCTCCTCAACTCCTAACCCCCCCCCAACAGACACCAACACCTCTCACCCAATGCAGACTCTCAGCTGTGAACTTCCTTTATATTGACATGCACCTTAATTGCCTCTGCTTTATCTGGTTTCATGCACTACATCACTTTATTCTATCCATTTTATATCAGTATTCATACAGTTCTGGTTAATTTATTCCTGTTGTTTCTTATCCATCATTGCACTACGGTCACTTTATTTATCTAATTCTTACCTTTACAGCTACGGTCACTTTATTTATCTAATTCTTACCTTACAGTTATATTGTATATATTAGTTCTGTTGTTCCATTATTCACCATGCACCTTAATAACTTATCATTTAGTATTTGCCTACTTGCACATAGCTCTGTATATATATATATTTATTTCTCGTTTACTGCACATAGTTCTGTTTACATCTGGTCACTACTGCACATAGTTCTGTATATATATATATTTATTTCTCATTACCGCACATAGTTCTGTTTACATCTGGTCACTACTGCACATAGTTATGGTTACATCTGTTTACATCTGTTAGTCCGATCACTGTCCACTTATATCTACTCTTTTATATTTTGTATTTTTAAGTTAAGTTTAAGCTTTAAGTTGTATTTAAATTGACACTTTCTATTTAGGTTAAATGTTTTGTTTACTTGCACTGTTGTTAATTTACTGCTCTGTGTGCCTTTGAATTGCCCCCCGGGGACAAATAAAGTTTTTTGAATTGAATTGAATGTGTATGAGTGGGATTAGTTACTTCTGATGGTCACTTTACATGCCATCAGTGTGTGAATGGGTAGATGTGACCTGCGGTTTAAAAGTCTTTTGAGTATTCAGATTGACTAAAAAGCCATTCAATTCACTTTTAACCATATTCTGGGCCTACAGCAAATACTGTCACAAAAATTGCCAGCAGTGAAGCGTTGGTGGTGCAGTGGTTAGTCCTCAAAGCGGGCGGCCAAGGTTCGAATCCAGCCTGTGGCTCCTTACCCGCATGTCATTCCCTACTTTCTCTCCCTGATTTCCGGCTCTATCCACTGTTCTATCTCTCCATTCAAGGCACAAAATGCCCAAAAATAAATCTTAAAAAAAAAAAAAAAAAAAAAAAAAGCCAAACATAGCAAAACACAATAGGTTATGGATAGACATACCTTTGCCCTTAAACAGAGAGTGTGTTTACATAATTTAATGTTTATTGTGCTCTTTGACCTATGTAAAACATTCAGAGATACATATTTAAATGTAAATTTAAATATTTTGGATTTTATGAGTTGTTTGTCCCAGGATACGTTTCCCTATTAAGTATCAAGAGAGTCAAAATAGTAAACATATAAATGTTTAATAGAGGAAAAAATACATTATTGTTTTCCATGGTCATTTACATTAAACATTCTAGTTTTTATATCGATTGTATTCAGTTTTACCAGTCCAGCTTTTCCTAGTGAATTGCAACCACATAAAAAAGGAACAAGGAATATACTTTTTTTCTCTTTTAATTCATTTGTGGATTTTTTTTAGGAGATTGCTGTCTGTCCATCCAGGCATAATGTGCACTTTCCTTTGTCAATATCCATTCACAGTGAAAATGCATCTGCAACCTGAAGGTCAAAAACTTTTTGTGCATTGAATTTCAAATTGCATTGCAATGCTATTTTATGATCCAAAATACAAATAGAAAAAATGTTTCTGACTAGACATCATGTAAATCAACCTTTTGATAAAGGATACCTTGGTAAGTGAAGACCTTTCATAATGCCCCCTACAGGATGTTAAAGTAAACATATTGTGCAAAATGCACCATGTTTTTCTAACACCAATATGTGTCCCTAGTCTGCCTACAAACCTCCCAATAATGGAAAAAATCTTTTTTGCCTCTTTTGCCTGCTCCACTTGGTTGAAAAACTAAGCTAATGCGGAAGTGCAAAATCTTGCAGTTCGTTGAGTTTCCGCTTGAGGCTGGCTCCAGGAACCCTGGAAGTCACATACACACCACAGCCAAAAAAGCAGTGTTTACAGCATAAATGATCATGTTTACAGCCTGGTACAAAAAAAGGAAATAGATCTGATTAGTTATTGTCATCATGGGCACATACTGTACAAGGGCTGAATATCTTTATAACGCATCCAATTTGATTTTTATATCCATAGTTAGCTGTGTAGCTGACCTGATTGGCCAGTGGTCCCGGCGATTTGTCAGGAGGCTTAAAACCTTCCTCAGCTCCATCTCTTACAGTACGGCCCACTGCTTCAGGCGAGAACGCTAGTGATGGCGCCGGAGCACTCAACTCGCCGCTCGATGGGCGTAAACCCGTTTTATGGTTTTATGGCGCGCGGCTAGTCCGGGTGGTTGCTGTACTCATTTGCATAGAACCAGTGGAGCCATACCGTGAGCCTGTCTTTTGGTCGACTGAAAGTTAGGCTGAGACAGGATTTCCAGCATAGAGGCTGCTGCTGATGAGCCTCCGGAGCCCCCTGCAGCTACAGATGGATGATGTCACTCAGGCTTTGTCCATTAATATTTACAATGTATGGCTCAAAAAGACTGTTAGGAGGGGCGCTGGTGGCGCAGTGGTTAGTGCACGCGTCCCATCTATGGAGGCTGTAGTCCTCAACGCAGGCGGCCCGGGTTCAAATCCAGCCTGTGGCTCCTTTCCCGCATGTCATTCCCCACTCTCTCTCCCTGATTTCCGGCTCTATCCACTGTCCTATCTCTCCATTAAAGGCACAAAAGCCCAAAAATAAATCTTTAAATCTTAAGACTGTTAGGAGATGTTCCCTTCATGACATCACAAAGGTAACCCCTCCCCCAGGTGGGTGTCAGGTGTTAGTTCTGCCCTCTGAGTCTGCCTTCACCATAAACATTAGGGCATGGTGCGAGAAAGCACACGCCACCCAAGCCCTTCCAGAGTGTCCTGGTCAAATACAGCTCATTTTTTATAGAAAGCTATAGACTAAGTGGGGCGCCTATACCCTAGCGGTTAGTGAGCACGCCCCACGTATGGAGGCCTTGGTCTTCCAGGCGGGCAACCCGGGGACGAATCCAACCTGTGGCTCCTTTCCACATGTCATTACTCTACTCACTTTCTCTCTCTCGCTCCCTAATTTCTGACTCTATCCACCGTCCTACCTCTGTCCTACCTCTAAGATAAAAGCCCAAAAATAAAACCTATACAACATTTTTATTTAAAGCTACAGACACAGAAACAGCCTGTTCAGAGCAGGGCTGGAATAGAGGGACACTTCCCTGGCATGTTTTGGGGAGCTCCCAGACTTATTTGAACTTGTTGAATAGGAGAATAATATGTGACCTTTAAAGAGCTTGTATCTCTGGTGTGTGTTTTAGGTTAGCTCTTACTGAAGAAAAGTACATTTTGTTCTGTTTTCTCCTCTTTGGTCCTCTATGATCCTCTATGGAGCTTATTGTCTAAATGTTGTCAACATCTATAGTGTTGATGTTGGCATCACTGCTCTGCATTTTGCAACAGCACACAGTGGTAGCAAGTATTCCAACAGCCTCTTTTCTAATGTAAATATACAGAATTAAGTCTGCAAGCAGACTCAGTTTAGGAAATATCTCACATATGTAATTTAGAAGATTATCCGATGTTCTGTTCCTTACCAGGATCCAAATAATGTAGGGCAGGAACAGCAGAGTGTAAATGAGCAGTACCAGGACCAAAATAACAATAATACGACGTTTTTCTTCAGAGGGGACAGCGACACAAGTAGACAGGGCTCTGAGGGTCCCAACCAGGAAGAATATGAAGAATGGAAAGGGAATGACGAGTGAAGCAGCAAAGATCCTTTCTGTCACATCAAAAGTAACCCAGGGAAACACAGTGAGGATATAGACAGGAGGCATGAGCCAGACTACAACACTGACCACCACAGAGTTCTTGATGGTGCGTTTAAAGTGGTACCACAGTGGGTGGGCGATGACCAAATATCTGCAAAAAAAAAATGGACACATTGTTTTTGAGGAGGTGCAGAATATTTCAACTATATAATGGGCAGACAAAGAATAACTACACACATTCTGTTTAGATGTATAGTTACCTTTCCAGCGAGACACACACCATGAAGCCAACACTGATCACTAGACCAGAATAGTAAATATAAAATGCAGTTTTATAAACATTCGCATCCTGTGTTGTCTCCAGAATGATCATGGAGCAGAGCTGAATGAGGTCGGAAATAAGAAGGTTGATGACGTAGATTGGAGCCACATGATCCTTTCGTACCTGCAGAAAAATAATAGTAAAACAAGCAGTTATAAACATGATTTGGTGTCATCTGATTTGATGTCATCCTACAAATAAAAACTTTCTCTGCCCAACTACAGCCATTTACAGCCGTTATTATTAAATTCTCATTGTGCTGTAAAAAATACTTGTCACTTTAACTTACCATTCACTGCACAGAATGTCTTAATTGTCCTGCACAGTCAGCATTACTCTTATTCCAGTATACCTATTTCATTTGTATTTACCTTATCGCTGTCTCTATTCTAGCCAGAGACACAGGTCGAGGTGGTGGAGTGGCAGCTATTTTTAATTCCATTCTTCTAATTAACTCTTGACCGAAACTGAATTATGCTTCTTTTGAATCTCTCACATCCAGTCTCAAGAACCTTTCAGCAGTTCTATTTGTTATAGTTTACCGCCCTCCTGGCCCATATTCTGAATTCTCCTAATTTTCAGAATTTCTATCAAATTAAGTCCTTAGCACTGATAAAATAATTGCTGTAGGTGACTTCAATATCCATTTGGATGTTGATAATGATAGTCTTAGCACAGCTTTCATTGTCATTATTAGACTCTAATGGCGTCACCCAGGGTGTAAAAAAACATACTCGCTTGAAGATTATCTGATATAACTGTAGCTAAATTTAAGGAAGCTATTTCAGCTTTTGATTCAGTACCGTGTTTTAACCCAGTTCCAAACTCTTTTAATAACTTTAGTTCCTCTCAGCTGGATCAGTTTGTTGATAGTACTAAATGAAATACATTTGTTCATAACTGTCAACTTGTCTTTTAGACACAATCCCAACCAAGCTGTTTAAGGAATCATTTCCCTTAGTTAGCAACTTTATATTAGATATAATCAATATGCATTTACTGACAGGTTATGTCCCTCACTCATTTAAAGTAGCTGTAGTTAAACCTCTTCTTAAAAAGTGTACTCTTGATTTAAGAACCTTATAGATTTATATCCACCCTTCCTTCTATCTCAAAGATCCCGGAGAAAGTGGTGGCTAATCAGTTATGGGACGTTCTCCATGACAATGATTTATTTAAAGAGTCCACCATAGCACCTAGACTGCACTAGTTAAAAAACGATTTACTTCTAGCCTCAGACAAGGGACTTCTCACTGTGCTTGTCTTAGATCATAGTGCTGCATTTGACCATCACAGGAGAGAGAGTGCCAGATGACATGCAGGAAAGGAGCCACAGGTCAGATTTAAACCGGAGTCGTCTGCAAGTCGTCTGCAAGGCAACCAGTGTCCCCAAACTAAAATATTAGAATATTTTATTACCTTCATTTCAGCATAAATCTCACTAAACATCTGACATTTTATTTTAAATTGAACAAAAAAAACTAAAAAAGTATACTTTTATATTATATAGGCTAAGTCACAATAATGGGTAAAATATTAAATCTTAGACCATTCAAAAAAATTTGGAAGACCTCTTGTGACCCCAATCTAAGTGTCTTGCGACACCCACTTTGGGAACCACTGCTTTTGAAACATGAAGCAAACAGTATAAAAAAAGTAAAGATGTACATACCAGAGAGTACAGAGCGCAGATGGTCATGAGGGTCAAAGGAAGGCTGATACTAATGATAATGCATGTGACCACATGTACTGGAAAATACTCTTTTCTTTTGAACCAATAGTCAGTTATCGCTAAGTTTTCTTCCACAGCGGTGTTGTTAACGAGAATATATTCCATCCTTCAGAGTGTAACCTGATTTTTTTAAGATCAAAAACAGAAAGTGTCATATATAAAACAATATAAAAATTAAGCATCATGTATCCATTCTTATTACTTAACCTTAAAGATGATAATCATTACTTAGTTCTGTCCAACTAAAGTTTTCAATTAATGATTGTGATTTAACATAATTCATTTTTTTCCCATTCAGGCAGTGGTGTTAAACTGGAATGAGTCTTAGGATCAAGACAATCTTCTTTGCTATAAAACAGTTTTTTTTTTATATACAGTATAATATGAAATGTGTCTTGGGTGTAAGTGAAAGAAAGAATAATAAATATAGGATATATATTTATAATTTTGAACAATATCACTTTTTAACTTCAGGAAAAATAGAGACATTTAATTTCCTCTTATTTCAGAAATTATTTTGCATGGAGTTGAAATAAACCCCCACAATGGGCCCTAGTGTATGCCCGGTGCAAAGCGTCTTGGTCTGCAGTGCAGGTGTTATTCCTATTTTCCACCGGAGGTAGATAACATTTTTATGCCTAGCATCCAGAAGATTTAAAAAAATGAATTAACTATTAGCGCCCAGATTGCGCCCCCTCAAATAGCAAAATGTAGTCGGACACAACCATATAGCTATAACCATATACTTTACGCTGTCAGAATAAGGCCAAATGTCTCTATTTTACTCTGTCCATAGCAGCTAAAATGCCTTCAAAACACTATGTGGATATGAAGACGTAAATGAGAAGCACTGACTCATGTTTTCACTGAAACATCATATTCTACTTTTGTAAAATATGATGTAATTATAACCCGCAATGGGATTTTCATCAACAGTAACAAACCACAAAAGTAGTTTTCTCACCTTGGCTGTTATCGTTTCCTGTAAAATTTCTAAAAAAAAGCCCTCTAAGTGGGTTAACGTTGGGTAAAAACTTAGAGCAAATAAAAAACAGAATACTTAACGAGGAAACATAATGATAAGATGAATTTTTCAAAAGGCTATATATTTGCAAAGTAGATTTAACCTAGTTCATTTGTAAATATCTTAAAGATCTCTGCTTAAAATGCGTTGGTGTCTTTTTTAAGCAATAACACATGTTTCACTATTACAAACAAACAAGAAGTGCCTCCATTGTTACACATGGTTAACATCATAACAACATTGAATATACATTCTTTTGTAATATGATTGCAATGTGACTTTTGATATCTGCCAAATCTCACCTGAATGAAGTCCCTGCACAAATGTTTGATGTGTCTCTGTATCCAAACTGTCTACAGTGAATATGTACAGTGACTGCATGCACTTGCCTCCTGCTTATGTTAAACTGCTCTTCTAAGGAAGTCAGAAAAAAATGGTCAGTTATGATTTTGCATTTACTGAGGGAGGTTACAAAACAAACAAACCACATGAAATATCTTTTTTCAAAGTTACTGAAGTAGCAATGTCTATTCTAAAGAGCATACGATCTAAGTGCTAAGGACTTAATGGGGATGTCGTTTGAGGTAACGGGAGTGAACACTTCAGGAAGATGTTAGAAGTTTTTCCTTTCCAGAACTGAAAACCCAACTCCAGATATGACCTGGAAAACAGTGTTTCTGATTCAATGTGCTGAGAATAAGTAACATGGTCCATCAAGTTAAATAAGGTCAAGTTTTATTTTCTGATTTTGACATTTCAAGCTTATTTTGAAGTACAAAGCCTTGTTGCTGTCTTCAGGCTCCTGCCTATTCCCCAACTTGTGCCACCCCACCCTGATTGTACTGACCTGCGTCTCATTATCCCCTGGTTGTCTGCATATTTAAACCCTGTATGTCCTCCTTAATGTTGCCAGTTCATTGTGTGTCCATACAGTGTCACCTTGTTCCTCCATTCTTTCTCTAGTTTAATACCATAGCTGGTCCCATGACTGTTGCCTATTTCCTGCTCACAGTTTGAATTAGTTTGTCTGATGCATTTTTGGATTACTCTCAACCTCTTATATTGCACTCTACCTTGTATGAGCCGTGTATTTTTGGGTCCTTCAATTTATTGGTACGATAGTATGAACTGGCCATAGAATGGACTTAGCTGGCGCAGTTCCTCTCTGTACTGCATTCACACAAGCAGGAGAAACACATCTCCCATCTCAAGACTCTGCTCAACACAATCTATGGAGGAACCCAAGAGCTCACAGAATGCCTTGAGATCTTCTTCACTACCATTGGCTCTCAGGTGAGCTTGTTGAACTCTAAATCTGGTTTCTCACCTAGATATGTTGATTCCTTCTACTCTTCTCCTGCTCCTGCATTTGTATCTACTGCTACTTCTGTAGCTCCTGTCTCCTCTGAAGCACAATACCCTCATCCGGCAAAACCATGAAGTTTCTCAGGGGATTTGAACAACTGTCAAGCCTTCCTGGTGCAAGGTGGACTTCTTCTCATCTCAGGGCTTCCTTCTTCTCTATGGAGGGCTTCCTTCTTCTCTATGGAGCAAGCAAAGTTCGCCTTAAATATCCCTCACCTCACACTCAAAGCAGAGACTTGGGCTACACCTGAATGGGCTTGTGATTATTTCATGTGTAAGCCTTGTTTATGGAGATCCACCACAGATCTTTGATCACAAGAGGCCGGGAAGCTTCCCAGGACTTGATCACTGTAAAACAAGGCAAACACACAGTTATGGAGGATGCAATTGATTTTACTCTAGCAGCTGATAATAGCTGGAATACTGCCGCCTTGGGACCTTGAGGAGAGAGGGGCAGAAGCAGTTGGCGAACAGGCAGCAGGTGACATCTCAGGAGTAGGAACCCAGGTGGCAACAGGTGTGGTAGCTCCAAGTGTGTCTAAACGAGCCATAATCTGTTGTAATTTGTCATTCAGAAGACACACTTGAAGACTGGAAGCTTACTTGGCATTCATTAATGTCTCTTATTTCAATGCAGACTGTGGTGAGTTGCTCCTCATGTTGCTGAAGCTGCCAGCCTTGAGATCGAAATGCTGCTTGCAGTGCATCTGAATCTGCTGAGTCCATTTCTATGGCCAGTTCATAATTTAGCAACACGAAACTACAGGTGATAGGACGCACAGGAATGACTCTTGAACACAGTATTGGTAAGCAGGTAAACAGTCTTTACTCCCTATTCTCTGGTCTCTCCCCTTTCATGTGCACCAAAAGCATCAAGAGCCACCTAAATAGCTAGAACATTTTAATTTCATGACAAGAATGGACATGGATTCAGCTTACCATAAGAAACCAACCTCTGAGACAGGATAGCCCCGATACCAGCATCCGGCACGTTAACCTGAATTGACAGCGGGAGTATGGAAGAGTGAGAATGGGTGCAGAGATAATTTCAGACTTGAGTTCTTTGAATGCAGTGTCTGCTTGAGGAGTCCAGAGGAAGGAGCAGGAAGGAGCTGTGGGGTGAGGATTCATTCATAATGACCATTGGGAGTGTTGTTGTCACTCATCCCCCTACCTAATTTTTTCCAGATAATCAGAGTCAGTATTCCCATCAGCAGGAATGGAACTAATGGAACTAATCCATTTCCCTTCACAACTGACCCCCCCAATAAAGGATCTGACCTGTGGTCTAGTCAATGTGTTGGTAGCTTCAACCAGGGATGTCATTAGATGAGATGTATCGAACTAGTGGAAACTGACCCATGGAATGACAATCAACAGCGCTGACCTCCAGACGTTGTGAGAGATGAAGAGTCCTCAGGTGGAGCTATTTTCATGTACATTGGGCCAATGTACTAAGGGCCAGCAGAAGAAAGTCCAGGGATAATCAATGTGAAAAAATTGGCTGTTTGCATTCACCCTTGCGGTTCCCAAAAAAACACTTCAAGGAGTTTCAGGAGTATGACAGCTGAGTAGTGATCAGCTGATGGCATCATCCCAAACAAGGTAATTTGAGGTTACATACAAAAGTCCCTCAAATAAATAAAAACAAACCTTACCTCTAAATACTTGTTAAACATATTCAGATGGAAAACAAAGCTAAATCTGCCCCTCAAGTTACGTCTACAGAATGAGCAGTCAGTTCAAGATTCTGTTCACTTTAAAAAGCTTCACACAGAAGCTTTGCTCTGGCTTAATTTGGCAGTATGGCACCCCATTTTTTTTAAAATGAAAAAAATGTAAAATGCCAGTGGGAGCTGGGATGTAATTGCAGCAGATTCGTTCTTCCTGATTTGTCTCTTTAAAGATTCATGAATTTCTGCATGAATAAAGCCTGCTGATATATGATTGGACAGTACTACACATATTGCAAACATTATTCAAATGGAACCCAGAACACTTTAACAACTAAAATCCAGGCATGAAGCATTCTCAGATTCTCTAATATCTCTACATGTCAGGAAGATTGTGATCTCTTTCAGTGCATCTCTATTTGTTCATTTTATTAATGCTCTGTGACTCCCAATGTGTTGTAAAGGCTTTCATTTTGGTTCAGTCGACCGTTGGCTTACAGCTGCTACAACAAAACCAATTGGACAATGTATGAACTGTAAAGTCACTTGATGCTTATAATTCACTATCTTGACATTTGTCTTTTAGAGAAGTGAAACATTTAATAAAAAATGCCTGGCACTGTTTTTATTGGCTGTATAAGGGAAGATACACTGTCTTTTTCTTTTACCCTCTTTCTGTTGCAAATGCTCTATGAATAGATACATACATTATGTTTTTTTAATTAAGTGTTTCTAGAAGATGCAGATTTTTTAGTTAGATACTATTTAATTAGGTTAAAACAGATTAATTGAAAACCTGTAATGACACTTGGTAGATTGTAATACAAATGTTTTAACTAAATTCAGTCTTTTTGTTATAAACATCTACACATCTTGATGACCGAACAACCATCTTACATTTCTATGTACATGTTCTTTTATGTGTATGTTCTTTTTAATGTCAGTACATAGGAAATTCATTTTAAATCAAGGCTAGTGTCGCTTAAAGAGCTTGAGAAAACTGCATGTGAAGATGTCTGTTTTATAACTACATCAAAATATAATCCCACACACACCACTGTTTCTCCAAAATGTAAAAAAAAAACAAAAAAAAACAATGCCCTCAAAGACACCCCTGACCTAAGAGGGAACTTGTGATACAGCATATATACTTCTTCTTGAGAAAAGCAGAAGGAAATACAGTGGTTAACGCTCTCTGTTTGTACAGAACTCCTTAGAAATGGTTATTGTAGGTATTTCGACTTCTTTAAATACGTGAGAAATTGAAATTGTATTGCACTGTTAACTGTAATACTCTTTATTTACAGCATAGATTCTTAAAGTAAGCACTGTTTCTATATGCTTATATGTCTTCTATATTCTTGTTGTTAATGTGGTTTTTGATTCTGGAGACTAGTAGTAGAAAGGTATGTCATTCATGCAGAAGTTGGGCTGCAGACTCTCGAAGGTGCAGTCAGATGTGTCCATGGCACAGCGGCCACAGTTGCAGCTCAAAGCCACAGGGTAGGTGACAGTCGGATCTACACCAGGAGGACAGTCAGGAAGCTCAAATGTCTTGTAGTAGAAGTCACGGTATGTGCACACATGCTGGTAAACATTGCTGAATGGTGTCTTGATGACAGGGTCCTAAAAGGGAGAAAAATGAAGTCTGTTAGTGAAAAAATCATGCTGCTGCTATTCACTAACATGTCAAATATATGAGTGATAGACACAATGTGACTGCAACACTGAATTAAACATCTAGTCTAGTCTATGATTGCAAATATAAAGTAAGAATGAAAGGACCAAAGTAAAACATGTACACCAAAACGGATATGTAAAGGTTGACAGGTGTGAGATTTTATCTACTTTGGTTTCAGTTTCCTGCTTACTCACAGCGTTTCTATTACACTGAACCTAACGACACCGTCATATTGTCCCAGTGTGTACTTTACACACCCTCAGTAGGCAGTGTGTGCAACTTGATGTGGAAATAACTTGTGTGGTTGACAACAAGCTGTCATCATTTCTTCCTCTTCTGCAAAAAAGCTATTGACCGTACATGACAACCTCTTTCCATTGCAGCATTCTTTTTTTTGGGGGTGGGGCGGGGTGGGGTGGGGTTAAAGAGGAGATGTGCTCATCTTAACTTATTAAACTTTAATGTTAGCTCATGACTGGGAAAATCATCCCAGTATGTGCTCTATTTAACATGAAGATAATTTCCTATTTTTTTAGTTTAATTTTAATTAACACCATTTCCTTTTCTTTTTTAATAAGAGGTTAAATTTTTTTCATTCCTCAGACTTTAAGATTTTAGAAGTAATACATGTTTTATGTATTTTCTTATCCCTGATTTCATACTATTTAAATGTCCTTAGGATTGTTTTACATTGTTTCACTTCAATAAATTAGTAAAATCCTTCAACACATACAGGGTTTAGACTATGTTCTTTTTATAATACTTTTTTATTTATTTGTATTACCGCTATAGCTCCTGTTGTACCTTGGTGATGCAGTGACCACTGCAGATGGTCGTTTCTACTGGGTGGCACTTTGGACAGCCCTCCTTCTCCAGAGACACCGTCTGGTTGATGAGCTGGCAGAACGGCAGCTGGAAGGCGGCTGGAAATGGAAACAGATAATTGGTCCCAAGAATAATTGGACATACTAACGCGGCGCACAGCTCATTAAAAAATCCTGCATTGCAAACTTTGTACTCCTTAATGTATCAAATGATCAACAATAGTTTTCCACTGACAGAGTTTGTAAATGAAAGCTTCTACCAGAGGCCACTGTGTTATACAGCACACGTGACATTGGCAAAAGAGCTTTTCACATTTTATCTGGAACAAATTACCCATCACTATCAGATCAAGACTGCACACCTCTAGTTTTAACATCATGGCTGACACACAAACAGATATGATGCACAAATTCTGATCAATAAGAATTAACAAGAATGAATATAGCAAATGAATAAGCATATCTTTGGGAGCCATAGTCTTGCAAGTCTTTGTGCATTATATCTAGAGATTTTTTTACGTCATTAGATTTTTTTAAATGATGTGCGTGTGTTTGCTGCCTTTAGCATGACACACAAACAGTCTGTCAACCGTTATACACAGCATATTTTGGTACTTTTTATGATGTTTAAAAGTACTTTTAGTCTTCATTGATGTCTTGTCTTTTCACTGTATTCTCTCTCATTCAATTATTTGAATTCACCTGCCCAGGGACTGATGATGGAATTTAGCTATCCAGCAAAGTTTGAGTAAGTTGTTGACTTTTGTCAGTTAGATAAACAAATATATTAAAAATAATGTATACAGTTAGGCTCAGTTATGTCATCTACTGTTACTTTGTTACTCTGTCATTCTGTGACTTTGATCTAGAAAAATTACTCTTCAACAACACTGCTTGTCTGTATTATGTATGGACAGTATTCAACAATGAGGTCCAATAAAACGCAAGAAGATGCATTTGGTTGTCAGGGATTTACACAAAGAGGAGGCAAAAAAACATTTCTTTCATTGTGTCTACTTCAAAATATGGACACACATAAGTATTTGTTGAACGCAGCTGATAAGAACACCCTATTTCTAACATCAGATTGACTGAAGTCTGGCCCTTTCCAAAAATGTAATAAGCCTGAGAAAGAATCCAAGAGCCGTTGTAGAAATCCAGGTTTCTCTCGGGCCACATGAATTGAAATGTGCTGAGAGATTATGATGGATTTTTTGCCTTACGATGCACGAAAAAATCTGGCGACCCTAGCTTTAACAGCTCCATATGCTTAATAAAAGTGGAAGCCCTTTATTTCAAACTTTTCCTGTAAAAAGAGAAGTATGTAAATGATAATAAAACTCAATATCAAAATCAATATCACTGTTTGATTGACTTATTTACCTGCTGGGATCAGGGGCCCGATGGAGAATGTGGCGCCCAGAAACAAACTCAACATCAAGGGGGGCATCCCTCTCCCGACCTGGGCAACAATCATCCTGCAGGAGACGACATAGAAAAAAAAAGCTGTATTGATCATTTAGTTTAATAAAAATCATGGACATCTGTTTTGTTTTGTGTTGAAACACATTTCAGTATAGCAGAGACATTGATAACACGGACCATTAAAAAAACACTGTCAGCATTTTGTTTATTGCTTTGGCAATTTTTTAAACATTTTGAAGATGACACTGAAGATGTTATCTCACCCTTTTGATTTTTTTTTCTAAGTGAAGATATTGAGCCAGTGAGGAAGTCTTTAACAACAAAATGACCTTTTTCATTGAAACATTGTAAAAACCAAGGATCAAATTGTTGAGATGTTTTTTTCTGTGTTACTCATTGTAAACAGTCTTGTCCTACACATATTCACAGACACTAAGTGCAGACCGAATTTTTCTGACAGATTTTTTCTTCTGAGGCTTACTCACTGCTTCCGTTTATCAACGTTTACACTCTTGGATGTTAATTTCAAGAATCCAAGGTGTCACATTTGACCTTGTTTATAAAAATTAGTTTGTGTACAATGAAAGGAAAATGTTTTTTAAAGAACAGAAAACAGCAAAGAGAAAAAAAAAACATCTGAAAAACACCAGCAGTTCTTCAATGGAAATGGTCAGTACACTAGTGTATCACTACAACCACTATATGTAAAAACAAATCAATGCCTCTCAGCATTTTTCACAATAACATGAATTGAATTGCACAAAGAAAGCATTTTATCACACATACATTCAACTAGTAATTATAATTGCCTACATGTCCATAAACATTTTCAAAATGTTTGTGAAGAATGAGAGATGCTGTTACTGCTGTGAGCGTCATCTTCTGGAAGAATCTTTTTTTTTTAACTTTCTAACATGAGCAACTTCTGTGTTTATGATTACATGTAAAAACTAAAACACACAACAGTATGATTTTTTGACCTTAAATAATAAGTGTCAATCTGTTTACTTTTATTAAGAAAACCTCACTGTGAATTTGGACCTAGGCACTATTATTAATCATTCCTGACCTCTGCTGTTCGTGATTATTCATTACACCAATGTTTTTTTTTAGAAAGGTTTCATAAAAACAGCCATTCATTATCTATACTGCTTTTCCCTCTCAGGGTCGCAGGGGGTTCTCAGCTGTCACTGGGTACACCCTGGAGTGGTCGCCAGTCAATCACAAGGCTGACATAGACAGTCGCACTCACATTCACACCAACTGGCATGAAAAGACCCTCTCTGACCAACCTGCAGCTCTCGTTAAAAATAAAAAAGTAAATATTATTCACCAAGAATTCTACTAAACAAGCTTAGCCGCAAGAGGGGAAAAAATCTGATAATTTAATACATTTAGGAAGACTTTTTGGAGGCAGACTTACCTTTCTGGATTCTGCAGACACTGTGACCAGGCCTGGTTCTATCAGTCTTTATAGAGCATAGAGGAGCCTGGTATCCAGGATGAAACTCGCTCATATCAACTCTGGTAACCTGATGTTGTTGATAGGGGCAACACTTCAAAGGTTTGACCTTTATCTGCCCAGGGGGATCAGTCCCTCTTTGTTTCTCTCCTAAATCCTACTATACTTGTATAACAGCTACAATAATTAAAAAGAGCATCAATTGGGCAACAATTAAACTTACAATCTGATTTGGTAGCATTGGCTTTTAAAATCAAATGGAATAGGGGGATTATTTTGAGATTTTGATAAACAATGTCTGTGGTTAGACAGACAGACAGGTTTCCATGCATACATACATACATAGAATATTTCTATCTTCTACAAGTACATCTTGTTTCAGTGCTTTGTATTGTTATTGTAACGCTTTGTTTTTCATATTAATTGTACAATCCAATCCTTTCACGCTGCCTTATTTACATTATGTTCCTTGTGGATTGAATTCAATTTTACCCAATTGGGCTGAGTTCGATTCCTTATTTACATAAAATATGAGCTGTCAGTAGCAAATTAGATGTTTTCTGCCAATTGTAAAAGTCATTCCATCCATCTGGTTGGATTTATTAAACTCAGTGCATACAATAAACAATGTAAAATTCAAAGGTGAAGTAATGGAAATATACAATTTCCATTACATGATGCAAAATTAATTGTAAATTGGTGTTAAATAATTTAATTTGCTGATATTTGAATATCCAGTGTGAGTACAGAGTTATATGTCCTACAAACATCCAATATTTTAATGTAAGATTGTTGTCAGCATATCCTGTTGTGTATTGAGTTTAGACACCATGAAGCCGGATGGAAGCTGTCACGTAGTTTGTTTGCTGTTGCCGCCGGTTGCTTAATCCTGTCTTATCTGTTTGGGATCTCTGTGACTCACTGACTTCCTCCGGACATGGTTCATCAAACAATTTGATCCTGTTGTTAACATAATGAAGGCTTTTTAACAGGTTAAGATGACACAGGATGATTTCCTGGGGTGGCTGTGGATCAGTGGTAGAGTTGGTCGTCTCTGAACCAGAAGAATGGGAGTTTGATGCCAAGCTCCTGCAGTCACACAAGTCAAGCCAAGCAAGCAGCAAATGAATGGAAAAGCATTGGGCCATTGGGCAAATTATGTAGCAGGATCTACCACCACTGTCTGATTGGTTGAATGAGACATGTACTTTTAGAAGTGCATTGGGTGGCCAGTAAGACCAGAATTGCCATCCAAGTCTAGTTGATCTAGGCTAATTCGCTGGCTTCTGAAATTCAACATTGAAATCTTAATTCCAGTACCTGCTTCTTTTCTACATATCAGACAAAAAATGTGGACCTGACAGAGTAAAATTCAGTTGCAAATTTCTGAATGATATAAGCAAATTTCAGCACATCAGATTTTATATGTTAGGTAAATTCTGTCACCGAAACAATAAATAATTAAATCGTATCTTTAAGTTACTCACATTTTAACCTTACACAGTCTGGGTCCAATGACAGGCCCCAGTGTTTGTGTTTTTTTACATACACTCCTTCATATTTACTGCAACTTGGAAGTCAAGAAAATGTCTCATTGTCCACAAAATGAAAATGGTATATCTATAGCAAAGTGAGAGTTTCCAAACGTTTCACTGTTATCCAGAAAAATAACCTTGTTCCGTTAAATATGTTAATTCCATAGACTGTAAATATCAACCCCCCCCCCCTCCCATATTTAAAGGAAAAAAAACAAAAAAAATGAACATTTACATCGGAACGACACATCCGCTTTTGCTTCTTTTCCCAGTCGGCGTTTTATAGCGAACGGAACGATGCGGCAGCTACTACGCATGCGCTGAGGCCAATATGGTTATGAAAATTGTCCTTACATGACTTATATTTCAAGACAGTCTGACTGTCAGTACATTTTGCCCAAGGAGTCTTACTTTGTAAAATGGCAGGAGAAGAGGAGGAAAGCAGGAGCAAGGTAAGTACCTGAGCTCAATCATGTTGCACGGAAACAGAGAAGATGAGCTACTTGAGAAGGTCAGCAGTGGTTAATATTGTTGAATATGAATATGTTGACATTCCTGCAAACCGGAACTTTAAACTCTTCCCTCGAGTTCATTCGGGTTAAATTAGCAAAGTGATCACATCAGTATCCGCGTAGAGCCGGGCAAGCTAATGTTATCCGTTATCAGAGATAGTTTGGTTAAACCCTACCAAATCCTGTGCTTATATTTGATAACTAAAGGTTAACATGAGCCCAGACACAAAAAACATTGTACTCACAAATACAATGAGTGGCAAGCATTTCTGAAACATTACGCTGAATAGTTCGGCTCACAGTTTATCCTGAAATTTTCAATTTATTTCTGTAAAACATGCATCTGCCTTCGTTTCTCAACTCATTCGCTACTTGCTGTGTATCCATTGCAAACCTTTACCGTGGATTATAAACATGCAAAGGCTGATTCTGTATTTATTCATGTGATGATTAAAATTAATGTCAACCCAGCTCATGTTGAAGTGTGTCAAATAATACAGATGACACAAGTCCCTGTAACAATTGATAAGAAGATGTCGATGTATTTTCTATCACGTTTCAGCATTAGAGTAGTTAACACCTTTACTTAATGTACAGTAGAAACACATATCAGGTCATGTAAGTGTTTTTATTTAAAATTAATAATGTAAATTTTATTTTACATTTATTTTAAATTTATTTTAAATTTAATTGTAAATTCTTTAAAAATTTAAATTATTTATAATTAAAATTCTTTCTTCTGCATGTCTGTCTGTCCTTCAGGGTTTTCGGCTGCTGGGGATCCTTGACGTCCAGAACACTCCATGTGCCAGAGAGGCCTTCCTGCATGGGTCTGGAGGCTCACTCGCTGCTGGCCTGCTGCACTTTCTGGTCACAAGTAAGCCTTGTTTCAACTGAGTGTTATTGCATGTGTATTTTCTTCTCTCACTCAGTGGTTAACCATCTTGCATCCAATAAACTATCAACAAGGCTATGAATAATAATTGGATGCGATATAATCACTGCGATCTGAACAAATAACTGCCAAAATAAATCCAGTCTCTCGATTTCCTGAAAATCAGTATTAAAAAAAGATAGTTTGCACTTTGAAGTTTACTTGTGCACCCTTTGACCTGATCTGTTGTTCACAGGTCGGGTAAGGAGGTCTTTTGACGTTGGATTTGCAGGCTTTATGCTGACCACTCTCGGCTCCTGGTAGGTCATCATTTTATCTGACACATCATCCTTATCTTTGTCTGTCCAATCAGAATTAAACTTGTTTTTTTGTACCCTGACATAAGAGATAAAACTCGAACCAGTCACACTGGCTTAAGCTGCAGTTTTCTCTCTTATTGCTGTTAGTGACAGAAACCTGTTGTGTCTCCCTCTCCAGGTTTTACTGCAGGATGAACAACGCTAAGCTTCGAGTGCAGCAGAGAATGATCCAGGGAGGCATCAAGAACAAGGTGGTTTATGAAGGAACTGCCGTAGACCCCACAATTAAACCTGGAGCAGAATCAGGACCCTCATGACTTCCAGGACTGAGAATCCTGCCCCTCCTCTGTGACGGCTGGAGGACAAAAGAGGACAATGGCAGGGCTACTTCAAAGACATAACAACCAGTTTTTTGTCTTTCGGAAAACTGACTTCTGCTGCACTAATCATGGACGGATTGAGTTATTTAATGTGTGCTGTTTTTCCTTTTTTATGGCTGACAACTTGCGATACAGCAAATCCAATGGGTTAAATCTTCAATTCCATCCAACCAAAAACAAACTGTTGGATGGTAAGAGTAAGCTGTACTGATCCTGAATCACACAAAACGTGTTTTACTATAATCTTTTCAAAATATTGCTCAACCCTTGAACTGATCCAACAAATTTACCTCTTACAACCTCATTCCGCTGAACCCTGTGATGCTGTGATTTTAGTGACTGCGTTCCTCTGTCTCTTCTGTGTTTTCTGCACACGAGGTTACAACTTTATTCTTAAAGTCAACCCAAGGGTACACAGACTCACCAAATGCCATTTGGAAAAGTCCCCACCCCTTTGTGGGTTAGCAGTATATTTAATAGATGGATTGTATGTTAAAGCCAAGGGCACCTACTGTGACATCACTGATTAGGGTGTGGCTTAATCTGTAACATGTTTGAAAGGGTAATCCCAGAGGACAGAGCAGCAGCGGCTCTCTGCTTATCATAGCTTATCAATAAAATGTCTACTGATGTCAAATTGTGTGTCTGTCGTCTAGGAGGTCTCATCAATTCATTTTTCATCATAATTTTTTCTTCTTAAGATGTTTCCTCACCTCCAGTCTTCCTTAACTTAGTCTGTATTTACCTTGTGCAGTATGTAGTATTTGCTTCAAATTACACATATGAAGCAGCCGGTCAGATTACTGAAGACTTGCTTGTAAAACAATTTTATATTTTTTAATTGAGAGTAAATAAGACTGAATTCTGTACACAAACTGTTTAAATACTTCAGCCAGCATACTTTACATGACCAGACATATATAAGAGTGTTGAGGAGTGGAGCACTGACTAACAGGATGCTGTTTAACTTCTAATGAGGTGACTGTCAGAGGAAGCAGGATAGCTGACTCGAAGTGAAGATCCTCAACCCCTACAAAATCGAGGTAAGATTCCTAACAAGGACCATTTCTTAAAGAGTGAATTTTGTTAACAACACTGCTGTGCTCTTAATTTATAATTATTTGTTAATAGGATTTATACAAAACTGTTTCTCTGGTTTCTGCAGTGGTTGGACACTTGGACCTTTTTTTTTAAATGAATTAAAATAGGAATAGAAGTTGATATTACCCATTTGAATGTGTCAGATAACTAACTTTAGGTGTTTTGGGACTACATGAACTTCTTCATATTTCTAAGAACTGAACTATAAACAATTTTAGTTCCAAGAACCCCGTTAAGAGGAACATTGTTTGCTCCTGCTTCAGAGTAGGTACTCTCCCAGCATCATGGCGATGCAAATCGAGACAGACAGAAGAAAGTCCCCATTGTGTGTGATATTATTTGTGGAATTACCTAGTGGATAGTTTCTCTTCAAAAAGTCACCAGAACTATTTGGTCAAAAAACACTATAATATGTAATGTCCCAGTTGACCAGCAGGTGTCACTACATCCATCCTTATGATTGTTCAGCCGCTTCATCACCTGCACAGTCCAGCACTGCTTCAGTGACTATTACATTTTAAAGATATTCTGCTGGGGGGGGGGGAGGAGTGTGAGATCACATAAAAGAAATGAAATGAAATTTTTATTTCAGTGTTTTCAAGAACCACAGAAAATCAGCTTTAATATGTAAATGTATAAACTCATAGCAGGAGCCAATTGGATTAAGCCCTCAAAGTGTCTTTTCGTAGTTTATCCCCCTTCACAGCAAATTCTCATCACTCAAAGTGAAATCCTCTCTCAATTTACAATCCTTGTTTCTTCTCTTCTTTTTTTCACAACAAATACAAGTGCAGAACTCCAGGTTCAGAAAAGCTTGACAAATTTTACATGTTCTGTTCAAAAATAACATCTTGTGTATCATCACAAATTCACAAATGACTTCTGGTCATGCAGGTCGTGCGTTTAGTAACCCTACTATCGTTTTTTTTTTTTTTTTTGCGTTTTAGAATGCATACTTTCCCATTGGCCACACACTTTTAACGACACTGATTTTTTTTGTTTTGTTTGCACTGCATTAACTTCGCCGTCGCTGATTGTTACATTCCTATGTTTCTGTTTAAACCCTGTCGGGTCAAGACACTTGTAATTCAACGTTCATAAAAACACTAAACCTCATATTCAGGTGCAACTTTAGTAGAGACTCATTGTGGAAGTTTGCCCTTAAACATGGATTCTGTTGCAAAGAAACATTAAGGAAATGTTGACAGATTCATCCAGACGAAACAAAAGAAAACCTAATCTATGTTGCAAAAGAACAAATTAATTCAAGGTCAGTGAGTAACCTCTTTTGTATTTTGTGGATGATTAAAAAGTAAAAGCCGACTGATACGTTGATCCAAAATGATTATCACTACACCTTCTCTCCCCGGCACTGCATGCTAATATTATAACGTCACCATCAAACAGAGGACACAGGAAGCAGCCAGAGCAATAAGAGGGACACTCGCTTTTGTAGTCTTTTTATAGAAGACCTTTATCTCAGTCTGTCATGTGGGATGATTGTTCCACCGGAGCTGTTGGCACACAGACAAATCAGGAGCTAGATGTCACCTTATATAAGACACCGCTGATATATTGTTGTTTGACTTAGATTTACGCAGACATCAAGGGGAAGGGAGAGAGGAGGGTTGGGGGGACGGTGGGGGGAGGGGACGGTCTTGGACATCTGTCATTGTCCTGGCATGCCACACAGTCCCATGTTGACTTATCAGGCAGAGGGTGGGTTTTTTTTAACGTGTCATCAGAAGCTCGTAGGACACATATGGAGTCCTAAATAGTTGTGAGGACTCATACAAGTGAAGGATTTCATTACATAACATTTATATGCACATTCATTTTGATACTTTTTAAAACATAATTCCTCAAGTTGTCTTTTTTTTTTCTTTTTTTTTTTTTTTTACTGTCATTGAAACCTTTAACATTTTTAGATTAACCAATTTCATCATCATATTTTCAACCGGAGATTAACAAAGGCAAATAAAAGTTTTTCCTCAATCATTCAGGGGCGTTGTTACTGCAGAAGAAATCACTTTGTCATGCCAGGCTAATCGCATGACAAACCTTTTGTTTGGAGATTCTGAAGCACAGAGTGGTGTGTGGTCAAATCTGAGATCACCTTGAGAGCAACATGCTGTTACTACTTTCACCTTCAGCACAGCTTTAGATTCATTCATATGCTATGACCACTAATTATCAAGAGAATGATGCTGTCTTTCATTGCCTCTCTGTTCCCAAACTTAGGTCGAGCTGATGTTGTTACACAGCTTTCAGGCAAAAAAACAAAAAAGCCCACAATGCAACCACTTTATCGACAAGACATCGTGGCAGAACCAAAAAAAAACACCAAAGCAGGAGAAAAAAAAAAGAGAGTGAGTAAGTAAATCTTGGACTTCCTTTACTCTTTGGTGAGGTAGTGAATTGCAGACGAGGTACAAAATCTTCAAAGATACCTGTTCTTGCATAATTTGTCCGTAAGAGGTTGGATGGATAATCTTATCGGCCTTGAACTGTTTTTTTTTTTTGAAGACATTCCAAAGTGAGCTTCCTCTCTGTGACATCTGGACTCAGCCTCAGAGATTCTGTGATAGCGAGCACAAGGTAGGGCTGCTGCTCCTCCTCTCCAGTAAAATCCAGTCAAGGTGGATCAGGCATTGGATCAGGAGGTCTACACGTTGCTTTCCTGGTATTTATTCTTTGTGCGTTCGACTTGTTGGGGAACAAGAGAAACATCCAGAGCACACGGGAGCAGTTATGAAACACTACCCGGTTTGGGATTAGCCGAAAAAAGAAGACGGGTGGTAGAAGAGTCGTGGTTGTTTATTGCTTGTGATCGCTGTCTGACTCCTTTTGCTATGTGTCTGCCAATATTAAATTAAATTATTTCTCCAACATACTAAGCTGGACCCTGCGTACCGAGGTTATAGTAAGCCAACATTGAAACGTGTACATTAGATAGCTGCGTAGCTCTTCTTTAAGAAGATATGACCTTCATCACAGGTTTCCTTTATGGTTTCCTATAAAATAATATTAACTTCATTATAAAATAATACTTCATAAGATAATAATAAAAATAATATCATCCACGGTGTGATGTTTTTTTCCCCCCATTTATGCTATGTATAAAATTATACAAAAATTCAAAATATTCTGTGTTATTAAAAGTATGTTTAACACATTAAATACATTTGTTCTTGAAGTCTGTACTGATTAAAAATGAATTTCAATAATATTCCTCAGCATGTCGATTCTAACATCGGTTCACACACGTCATTGTTCTCACTGAGTTCCTTTAAGTTCTCCTCCTTAGTTTCATATTTGGCCTCATCTTGCGGTTGTGTCGAATACTGAGCTTTAACGTTAAAGACATCCCATTTCTCAGGAATCAGGCCTTTGTTGAAGAGCACAGACGACAGGTAGGAGAACAACAAGATGGACACCACGGCTGACAGCATGCAGATGGTCCTGATTGGAGAGCGCTGGATGTAAACGCCGTTTACCAGAGTGCATCCTGGGAATTTGAGCACGGGGGGAATCTGAAGCAGCGGCTCCCCGCACAGCACCCGCAAAAGCATGCCAACCACGCAGCCCAGGACAGCTCCGTAACCGTTGGAGACCTTGAAGAAGAGGACGCAGACGATCTGTGGGAGCATTAAAGTGTAGGTGAGGTCCGAACGAAGCATCCAGATCATCAGGACGCTGTTATCCAGGAAGGTGAGGGACGTACCAGCCAAGCCCACAACCACGATCGAGATCCTGATCACCCACTGGATCTCGCGCTCTGATGCCTGAAGGGGAGGAAGATGAAAAACAAGGTTTTTCTTTTTTTCCAATTACTTTCCTGAATTCCTGTTGTTGCTCTTATTTTCTCTCTGAATTTTCTGGACTAAAACTCCCCTCACTGTCTCACAGTCCTCACCTGTGTCCTGATGATGTTCCTATATATGTTGGAGGTGAAGATGGAGGCTGCAGACAGCAAGGCCGAGTCAGTGGATGACATGACAGCAGCAGCCACCGCCCCAATACCAATAATGGAGATGTAGGTTGGGGTAAGGTGCTGCAAGACGATGGGTAGGATGAGCCCCATCTCCCCACGTTCAATCGGAGACGCAGGACCATAAGAGGTCAAGTTCCAGTCTGAGAAACATGATGAGAGTGTGATGAACATGTGAGTAGAAAGATTACAACATGTAACACACAAACGAACAAGCAGAGAAGTGAGAGAATACAAATCCCTGAATCGTACTTGTTGATGCAGCCACTGCACCGAGCAGTATAGGAGGGATTCCTAACGTTGGAACGATGAACGCGGCAGCGAAGCAGGTGATCTTGGCTGTAGACGAGGAGGAGGCTGACAGCGTCCTCTGGTGGAAATTCTGAAGACCCAAATTTCCCAAACCCTTGAAAACAGACAAAGAGAGACACAAGATGTAAAAATAGAGGTACGCATATCAGAATGTATTTGATGTAAGAGTTAATCCTGAACAGGTAATTTGAGTGGCCGTCCATGAGTGCAGTTTTACAATACTGGATCTTTTAACCAAATGTATCAGTCCGCCACAGGTGCTCTTATTACCAAAAGTAGCAAAGTTCATATTCTGTACAATAGCATGACCTCGAGTGTGATATTTCTTCTATTTCTAGTTACTACAAATATGCAGTGATTAGGAGGGAAATGTAGAATAAGCTACAAATAAACAGGGCTGCTTGAAAACATTCTAATCCCGATTATTTTGATTGATATTGAGATAACAAATATTAATCACCATTACTCATTAATAATAATAATTTAACACAATTTAACAAAATATGGATCACATGAATTCATTGAACAAACTAACATTCTGAACACTTGAAACACCTGAAACATAAGCAATAAGTGAAGGCAAGGCAAGTTTATTTATAAAGCACATTTCAACAACAAGGCAATTTAAAGTGCGAGAGAGGAAAAAACAAACTTTAAAATAGAAAATTTAAAAATCACTGAAATTATTTAATCTGAAAATATGTTCAAATAAAAATAATGAAAATGAAATTAATTTAAATAAAAAAATAAAAGTAAAGAAATTAAAAGACTTAAAAAAAAATAATAATTACAGTGCAGAGTAAAAGTTTAAAATCTTATTCAAGCTGTTTAATTAAAGGCAGGTGTGACTGAGAGTTTCAGCAGACCTGCAGTTTTCTGGGAGTTTGTTCCAAATAGAAGGAACATAGAAACTGAACGCCGCTTCTCCATGTTTGGTTCTGACACTGGGGACAGAGAGCAGACCTGTCCCAGACGACCTGAGCGTTCTGGATGGTTTGTAATTAATCAGGAGGTCACTAATGTATTTTGGCCCTCAACCATTAAGCGCTTTATAAACCAGCAGCAGGATTTTAAAGTCTATCCATTTTCTTGGTTTTGGTGAGGACTCTAGCAGCAGCGTTCTGGATCAGCTGCGGTTGTCTGACTGATTTTTTTAGGCAGACCTGTAAAGACACTGTTACAGTAATCAAGACGACTGAAGATAAAATCATGGACAAGTTTTTCCAGGTCCTGCTGGGACATCAGTCCTCTAATTCTTGATATGTTCTTCTGGTGATAGTAGGCTGTCTTTGTAATTGTCTTAATGTGGCTTTTAAAATTTCCATCACTACACCCAGACTTCTTGCCTGGTCTATGGTTTTCAGTCTTACTGACTGAAGCTGCGTGCTGACTCTTAATCGCTCCTCCTTTTCTCCAAAAACAACAACCTCAGTTATGTCTTCGTTTAACTGGAATTTTTTGTTTAACTGGTAAATGTTTGCACATCCACTCATTGATTTGCTCTATGCATGTACCCAGTGCTTTTACGGGACCATGGTTGCATGGCGACATTGTAATATATATTTGTGCGTCATCTGCGTAGTTCGTAGACCCAGGATGGAACCTTGGGGAACCCCACAAGTAATTTTTGTTTGGTCAGATTTGAAGTTACCTATAGACACAAAGAAGTCCCTGTCCTTTAAGTAGGATTCAAACCAGTTTAGTGCTGTGCCAGAAAGTTTTCCAGTCGGTCGAGTAATATTGTTACGAGCTACACACAACCCCACAGCTAAATGCTATCCTTGCGCCTATGCTAAGGCCAGTGAGCCTGTAACTTAATGCCTCTCCTTACGTGTTGCATAAACGAGAATGTGTATCCTGCCTTATCTGAATGCGTGTGCAACTGTCCTATCTGTTTGAGGGGTGCGTGTAGGTGACTCATCCCAAAGATCCTTGTACGTGCTGCGACCAGCTCACTCGAACAGCCCGATCCACTTAGGGTACAATCTCCTCCGCCAGCCCTCTCTTTCATATCAGTTTAGTTCATGTGTAAAAAGCACCCGTGAAGTGTTGAAACAAAAACAAATGTTACTTCAGATTCAGTCTCTCAGGTGTCTGCGTCCTCGTGGCGTCTCTTCGACTCGAAGCCAATTTCCCTCGGCTCCTCTGCAGGTGCTGCTAATGAAGGTTACAGAGACAGAGCCACCCCCCTCAGGTGTGTTATCAGTACTGACCCTGCTTCTCCTCCTACCAACCACACCTACCGCTAAAGACACTGAAGTGAATCCTCCTAACGCCTTATCATAACAAATATATTGTAGTCAACTGTGTCGAACTAGCTTATCTAGATTGTTCTTTTTTAATAGTGGCTTGATGACTGCTGTTTTCAGGGCCTGTGGGAAGACACCTAATAGAAGAGACATGTTTACAATTCGTAACAGATCTGGAGCCATGACTTGGGAAACCTTTTTGAAAAAACCTGTTTGCAGAATATCAAGACAGCAGGAAGAGGAATTTAATTGTTGTATAATGTCCTCCAGGTTTTGAAGGTTGATTTGATTAAATTGTGTCATGGTGTTTAAGTTTAGCTTGCTATTGTCCACTATTCTGAGTAAGTGGTAATGTGGTGTCATTCCCGCACAGTCCTTTCACTTCCACATTCACTTCTAGGCCATTCATCTTTGTCTTCAACACTACAATTTTCTTAAGAAGTTTGTGGTAATCATCCTTGGAGAAGGGTGGCATCTTGTTGCTGATTAGCTTAAGCTGTGTACTGCGTTTCAAAGTACTGCTTGTGCTCTTGTCAGGCCTCAGTCGTGTAGCGATGCAAAGGTCCAATTTTTTTTTAAATATGGCTAAAGACCTCCTGTATCTTTAAAAAAATACAGTCCTGATGATTTGTAAATGTCCAGGACCGGCTATCAATTAAATTAGGTTCAGAAAAAATAGGATATCAGCAAAAGAATGTAAGGAAAGCAGAGAGCAAGAAGAAAAGTGTCTGCACTGGAAGACAGCAGGAAGTGAAAAGATTTTGAGGTAGTTGTGGAGTACTGTTGTGGCCAAAATATAACAGCAAACACTTTTAAACATTTACCGAACATGACAAAAACCATGTTCAAAATGAGCTTAACATTGCGGCAGAGTAATCGTTCCATCTCGATGAGACTTGTTTTCATGACTGTTGGAAGCCAAAATCACAATTGAAATTGAAACTCCATCAATTGTCTGGCCCTACTAATAAGTGCAAATAATGACTAATCAGCAGCCAGTATGCTACTAATTAGCATGCTAACAAGCAACTAGTTAATGGTGAATATTGTGACCATCATTTTAAAGTGTTGCCAAAAAGTATTTTGGAAGTACTTGAAATTATTATAATGTATCGACACAGCCTTACATGCTGGTGGCACAGAATGTGTTAAATATTGCTCTGCCACCATTGAGGCAAAGCCTCATCACAGTGCTCGGGGAAAAAGAAGAATTTTTGTGACACATTTGTGACATGTGGTTAACATTGTAAACAGTCACACTTTGGTAAGGTCGAGGCTTTAACACTGCTCGGTTCGGTTTATAGAGAAAAAGGTGACTTGAAGTAACTTCCTTCTCGGATGCTGACTAATTATATCTGACACATTTTATGCAACCACCCCAAAATTGTTAGGAAGTTGTGGTCATTTTAGTCAGACTAGGGTGAATACATGTCCTTTCTTGCTGACAGAATGGAAAACGAGCCATCCTGTGATCAAAAGACCTCTTAGCAGACCTCAATGTCTTATCCGTTAGCATATCCTAAAGCTACATTGAGGAGAACTGGGAAAAAAAAGCAGCATACAGTGAGTTGTGCCAGCCAATTCTCAAGGTTACCCTCTGAAGGGGAGCTTTTATCCCTGCACTAAGACTAGAGATAGACTACATGTCTAAATAAGGATATTTCTCATCCAGCATAAGATGTGTAAAGATTCTATTTGATCTTGAGTTATGCTCACCTAAGTTACTCTAAGTCACGTTGTGTGCCTTCAGGCCACATTTAGTGCATGTCAAAGAGTTTCAATGTGGAGTCTGAGGCAAAGACAGATAGGACAGGAGACAAAGAGCTGTAATGCTGCTTTGGCAGAAACTATGAAACTCGTTGAGTTTTCAACCAAAATTACCCTGGGAGTCATATTACATAAAAGTACCAGTGAAGGAAAATCTCTTATCCATCTTTGCTGCCATTTTTGGTTGGATTAAACTGAGTCATGACAAGGAAACCGGTGGCATTTTGTTAAATCTATGCAGCAGGGGAAAAAAATATGTTTTGATCTGTGGTTAGACTTAAACATTGTAAAGGATATCATTTTAACAAAACAATTTACCCAAATGGAGACACTTAATGGAGCTGCAGCTGCTCATTTATCCCTCACCCTAAAACCTCTACCTCCAGACAAACTCTCAGGAATGCTGCGAGATAAAGTCCATTAACCCGCTGCACCAAAGCCTATTAAAAGATTTAGTTAGACCTCTTTACAGACTGTCATTATTAACAGCTTTTCTCAACTGCCAGTTAATAAAGTTATAAAGGAACCTTATCTAGCTGCAAAAGTGGAGGGACTCTCATTTCTGCAGGTGCTATGCAAACATGAAACCGAAGGCGAATGTTTGTATAACACCTGCAGTGCAGTCCACTTGGTTGCACAAGCCATATCGTGGTGAATGCACGACTTCCAAACTCACAGTTGGATCGTGTCCAGTCCAAACCTGTAACTTGATCCGCCGTCCATGATTTAATAAAACAGTGAGGCAGAGGACATCCTTGTAGGAGTCCTTGACCAAACTTCACCTTAAACAAAGAACCCCTCCAGACTTACCAGAAGTAGAAAGTTATCGATCCATCTCCAGACTCTGTCCGCCTCCAATGTACCAACCCACGGAGACCCGACGGTGGAGTTGAAAGCTGTCTCTGTGATGTCCACTACAGCAGGACCCATCATGGCGAATGGTACACACAGCCACTAAGAAAAAAAGTATTACCTGTAAGCACACTGCTACAGTACTACAACAACGAGCCTTCCTGACCAACAACAAAGGAAAAATGTTCCTCAACTCATGTTTCATGGGCCCTACTTCTTATTGGTGGTCCTACGTGGCATCCTTTTTGAGTTCATCATATAGACTGTGTATACGAATTGGATATTACCAAAGACTGTATAAAATATGGATGTATTATCAGTGATGTCACCCGTTGGTTTCTGTAGAGATCTCACATAGCCCAACAATGGCGGTCACCATATTGGAAATGCTAACTCCAACTTACTTGCCGCCAACCTAGAAGCAGGCAATGATGTGGAGCTTATGTGGGTCCAGTGAATTTCCTGGATGCTGAACTCAACCATGTTGCTTGATATCTGGTTAGCATATTTGAAACGATGAAAAAAAAAAGCGAACAACGCCTACAGTTTAGGATCAACAGCGCTAAAGTTAAGCCTAACTCCTGGCAAGCAGCTACAAATTCGTCAGCCTGCCAGGCAAATCATCCAACTATGCAGAACTCTTAAACTTTATCTAACCAAAACGGATGAGTTATAAAACTTTACAGTTTTTACCAATAAGGAAATTACCTAGAGAGACCAAAACCATTTTTACCAGGTTTTAAGAATGCAGAAAAAGGGTCATTCTAAAATGGGCTCTAATGGGATCGCCACCTGGATATTATCACTGGGATGTCATCCATTGGTTTGCTGACTACCTTTTTAAAGTTAAGCATTTTGCTGTCACTATTTTGCTTTTTTGGCACCAGAAGTGATGACAATTTGAATAGAGTGGATATGTAATGCTACATCAATATCCCTGTTTACATTTCTTCCCCATAGGTAGCTAGGCCAGTGAGCATAACCTGCCTAATGTTGGTTTTTACTCTGAATAGGGCCCTAAACAGAAAGCCATTCTATAGAGTAGACTTCCAACTATTAATTGAAACCAAAACTCATAACAAAATGTTAACAGAGGCAATAAATCAAGTAAGAAACATCATTTTTCTGCTGCTAGACTTCAACACAATCAGAAGTGTTTGAGCAAACAGAGTGCCCTATGCTGGCGATTGAAATTAAAAGCAGGCTTAGGGCACTTCTGCATCGGCTTTACTTTTGAAACCAAGAGCCTACATCAACTTCTCATACACATATTCTGTTTATTTTTTAAAGAGTTCATGTTTCTATTTTCATTCAGTGACCTGTACAGATTTAAGATTCTCAGGAATGCAGATAAACATACAGAGATTGCCATATTGTTCAGCGTTAAATTAAAAAAAGACAGACAGCCACACTCACATTCGCACATGAGTTTACAGTTCACCTGATTGGCATGTGTTTGGATGACACATGCTAACCACTGAGCCAGCGGCGCACCATCTAAGACTTTTCCTGGACACCTAAAGATGAAATCATCAGGGCACACGATGGCTAAATAACAGAGTTTTAACTTAGGTTTAACTTTTACAGATTGTTCAGAATGAACGACATCTTCTTTCAACAGCTAACAAATGTTTACATTTCCTTAATGGAAATCTAAAAGAGGAATAGTAAAACATTGAAAGACATAGCCTTTATGCTTTATTTCCAAGAATTAAGGGAGAAGATAAATAAGACTCTTTGTGTTAACATAGAGCTAAATTTGCTTAACAGTGGCCACTGCATTAGGGGAAATTAAATGGCAAAGGTAATTGCTAAAGCCTAATCTCACAGTACAGCACTAGTGAATCAAGTCATGAAGTCAATGACTGACTCTGTTATTCTCAGTATACTGCAATATTTACATTTAATTAGCTGAAATCAGCCACAAAGTAGGCTGACGAGTTTTTGTTAATTATCAAACCAGCCAAATAAGGCCAAATAAGGCTTGATGTATAGAGTTATGTTTTATTTTTTAAAAGAGTTACACAGTTCGGCAGGGCTCAAGAGGCAGTTAGCCTAGCTTGGCATGAGATTGGAAGCAGATGAAAGCAGCTACTGTAGCTAGCATGTGTCTTGTTTACTCTGTACACAAACGGACAACAGGAACAGTGGCTTGACAGGAAGTTGTTGTGTGTTGTTTCTATTTGTAGATGAACGTCAGCTGGCTGCTGTGACTCCCTTTGTCACGGTTCAGAGAATTGCCAGGTATCCAGCAGAGAACACGGATACACTGATGTACAGGGAGAGTGAAAAACTGTCCCAAGAAATAGTTCTAGCACAGACCCAAATGTTGCCTTTTCTATTCAAACAACCAACATAAATGATTTTGATCACATTTTAAGAGTTCGTGGGTCTACTTTCAAACTTTAAAAGGCCAGTCATGCTACTGTTAGCAGTCTCTGTGCTAATGTTGGCTAACCTCCTCCAGTTCCGAGCTCTGTGCATAACACAAAAACATGAGAGTGGTGTTGATGTTTTTAAAAAGTAATTCTCTGAAAGCAAGCAAAATGGCTTATGCCTTCAAATGCTTAACTATTTCTTTAAAGTATTTTACAAACCCATGAACCCAAGACAAACAGCAAAAACACAAGGAAACTGGAAAAGCAAAAAAACTCACCAGGCTGATGAAGATGAGGATGAGCTGTATGATGTCTGTGTAGGCTACAGAGTAGAGGCCTCCCATTAGAGTATATGTAATGGCCACAGCAGCAGAAATCCAGATGCTTACAGTGTAGGACAAATCCAGGATCACACTCATGGTTACACCTGTTCATGTAAATACATACTTTTTTTTAATACACTCAATTCAATGACCCATTTCAGACACTTTTCATCACATCCACGTTATTAAGACCAACACTCCAGAGATTACAATGATTAACTGAGTTTTACTTTCTGGACAAAGTTATTTTAAACTGCATCATTAAGGTTGATAAGGTTAGTATTCTATGTTTGATTTGTTTGTAATTTAGAAGTTTAAAAAACCCTAACGGGGAAAAAACTTAACAAGATGTCTTGGAATCTTCTGTCTTATTTAGGCATCAATACAGAAACCAGTTCTTGTTTTATATAACTAAACTAATTAAGGTAGAGTGAATACTTAAGGAAGGAATTAACACAGAATACAAAGACAAAATTTGTTTATAATATCCTTACTACCTCTTCTACGAGCAAGGGAAGGCTTAAAAAACAAAATTCACCTGATATGGTCAATGCAACTTTTAAAGGACCAATATGTAAGATATCTATCGAAGTAATGTAATGACACTTCTATATCATCAGACATTATGGAAGCATGCTATGTTGGACAGCTGGCTTCATTTTAACAAAGCTGCAGACAGCATGTCCAACTTCTAAGTATCGATTCTGGTCCGGAATGGTCTGTTTTGGACGCCTCTCGGTTTGCCTGGACAAAGCGAGCTGGTTGATGTAACTGATTCTACCCGGCCTAAAAGCACTTCACATATTTCTAATGAGATGGAAAGAGGATGCAGAAAGGTTTCAAGACTGATGCAGAGCTGGCTAAACACTGAAGCTTCAGTGTCTGCGTCATGGCAACCAGTGTGCGCATCGACTCTAGGGAGGAGGTGGCGGTGGGAGACAGCCTTCTCCAATGTTTTGAATTTGGACTGCAACACCCGTTTAAATGCTAGGTGTTAGAGTTACATATTGCTCCTTTAATTTCTTGTAGCAGGAATTTATATTGTTCAGCAGAGACAATTGTTTTTTATCTATTTGAAAAAAAAATCAATGAGATTAAGAATCCTCGAAGAATTCTAATCTATTCTGTTGAATGTGTATTTTGTATGACCTTACTTGTCTGTGCTGCTGTAACGCCCGAATTTCCCCTCAATAAAGTACTATCCTATCCTATCCTAATCTTAAACTATACAATGATTCTTTATGTGTCTTAATTAAATGATTCAATAAAAAGTGAAACATAAATAACAATATAGGTAAAATCAAGAAAATGCAGGATACATAATGTTGTATGGAAAAGAAAAATAACTTAATAATCAAAACAAATTCAAATAAGAGTGCACAGAATACACTGATTCATTTGGCTTCTTAAATACATCCCTTAAATGAAGTACAGTAATGCCTAAGTTTGACACAAACTTTAAAAAAGCCTCTATAAGAAAAGTGATATCTGTTTAAAGGCTAAAGAGAATGGAAATGTATTAATCTTCTTTCAAAGAACACATTGAACTGACTTCCCTCCAATCTACAGGTGGTGTTCCACATAGATTTTGGACTTTAATGACTAAATCCATGTTTTTTTTCTTCGCCTGCCAAAAACAGCTGCAGATAATCACAGTGTTCTTCAAGGCATGAGTAGCAAAGAAGCTTGGTGTTAGATGGTTTAGTGCTTTACAAAGACAGGAAAAGACTTCAAAATCAGTTTTAAATCTTTCATTTCATTTCAAACCTTTATTAAAGCCTCAATAATCATTGAGCTTTCCCTCATTTACAATGATGTCGAGTAACAAAAAAGAGCACAAATCAAACAACAGAGACAGGATGATTCTCAGACACTGTCGTAAAGTGGTTTGACTTCATTGTCTTAATTTGTCCGAGAGAAACAAAGAGTGTCAATCTTGAGAGTGTATTGTGAATGATTCCACATTTTAGGAAATGTTACAGGAAGTAATCCAAATTAAAGGTGGAAAATCATTCTCATGAAGAACTCATGGATGTAAGAAGGACAAATATCAGTAGTGTGTGTGTTTACAGTTTAGTACACATTACTGGAATTTTGATGTCAATGTGGATTTTTGAGATGTCCTTTAGAAACTTTAGAAACCTTTTAACTGAAAATAGTTTGAATAAATATTGACACAAAATGTATTGAGCTTGATAATTTACATTGGGAAATAACCGGTCTCTTTATGGTGACCAAACTATGTTAAGGCATCTTGACTTGTTGAATGCAGCGGCTAACTGATAAGTGAAAACATCAAATGAACAATTCAGTTGCATTATCTTTCCCTTATTTAATTAATGCAATGCTGCTTTTATTTATTTACAAACACATCACTGACACATTGCTCCTGTGGTAACTGGTGTGACTTAAGGTCTTGTTCCATTGATGGGAGTTATTTCCGACCAACTGCACAATCAGACAAAGGCTTGTATTTCACTCAACACCTAAGCGAATGGCTAGGACCAACAGCTGCTCCGCTGCCAGAATCAACGTACGACTATCAGATGCATCACACCCACACAGAGACATTCTTACCTAATCCTATGAGTGTTCCCGTCACCCACATAATCTCTGATATGAGCGAAGCCAGCGAGAGAGCCGCCGTCGGTACTTTTCCATATTTGATCTGGAAAGGATCCATCATGGTCACATATTTGTTGTCTCTCATCGGCTCGGCGAAGAACAGACCACCTCAAGGAAGGAAGGAAGAGGAAAAAAAAAAAAAAAGCAAGGTTTAGATGATTTGTCTTTTTTGACGTGTGAGAGGCATTGTAGCCAAGATTCAGCTTTTGAATTATACAACAGTAATACTGGTGTGACTGTCCAGCTTTTTAACTCTTAACAACACAATTGGAAAGCATTCTTGATTTATTAATCCAACGTTCTGCTTGAATGACCCCTTTAGTTTAGTCCTTCAGATAAAATGAGACGAACGATTTTGGGTTTGAGAATGAGACAGAATAAGAAGTGATCAGCCTATCAGATCTTCATATAAAGAGAAGATATTCCAGATTCCATAAGAAAAAAAGACAAAAATGAAATAAATGTTTATGTCTGGATAATCTTCCCACATTCATTTTGTATTTCATCTGTTTAACAGGTCAGAATATAAGCTTTTGCACAGTGAGAAAAAAAAACACATTACTTTTATTTAAATCTGTGAAATTAAGTTTTAAAAAAGCCTATTAATTGTCTGGTTATAAGAAGGTGATCTTCCCAAATTGGTTCTAAGCGTAAGCCAGTGCCAAAGTGCCTTAAATCTGTATCCTTCAGATGGCCAGCTAAGCACAACTCAACTGTTTAAAAAAGAGGTTTGACTCAATGGAAACCTGACCTATTTCTCACTTCATTTATAACCTCATAATCAATCCATAAAGCAATCACTCTTTATTTGTATAGCAACCATTCATAAGAAATGTTATCTCAAGACTTTTTACAGTAAAGCGAATAAAAGACCTTACTCTTTGTCATATTATCTACAAAGTTAAAACATTTATCCATCAAGACCACTAAGCAACATTTTACAGTTACAGTGGCAAGAACAAACTCCCTTTAAGAGGCAGAAACCTCGAGCAGAACCAGACTCATGATGACCAACAATCTGCTGAAACTTTGTTGCAACAATGAATACGATTGATTTAAAGCTACAATGCCTGAATGTCAGTAATTATGTTAAAAGTATGTGTAGTATTAGCAGTAACAGCTAAGTGTGATAATAGACTGATCAGTCTAATATTAACATTAGAAACTGTAATGATGATGAAACATGGAGGACTGGTTTTCTTAATAATAGAGGTTGAAGTTGAGCAGCTCTAAGATTCACTTTTTATTTAGGTACCTATAAACTTCCTTTTGAGTTTGTGGACTTGATCTCTACTATTAAGTCTTCTTTAACACATCACCAATTATCACTTAATAAATGAAGAATCCCATTCAGAGTTAAGTAGCCCATAAAGCCGGTCATAGCTTATTATGATTAACAAGGCTTGACCACAGTAAATTGTCAACCAGGATAGTGATGTAGCAATGGGTATCCACTATCTTCCAAGTATTGTCACTCCTAGTGCCATAAAATACCAAGATAGTGACAGTCATAGTACAAAATTAGCATAGTAAGCAGTTACATGCCTACTGTGATTTTAAGTCAGCAAACCGGTGGAAGACATCAGAGTGCCATAAAAATAACAAAGATCATATTTTGGGGGGGATATTTCACTTTTTGTAAAGTGTATTACAAATAGATGAAGATACAATAAAGCTTGATGTTGATTTTGTAAATGTTGGTCCCATTTAAAGTAACCAGTTGATAGAGCAGGGCATACTTTAGGGTGTGGCTTGCTGTGATTGAAATGTTGTTAACAGGATATAGGCAAAGCAAAATGAATCTACCCTCTTATCCAAATATGGTCAGCCTTGGAAAAAAAAAAAAAAAAGAAGATGGCTGTGGAAAACATCAAAGGCTATAAAAATCTGGACCACAGAGAGAATAATGATGTCAGAATTGCTATGTCCACTGTTCTGTATTTCCACAAGTGGATTTAGTTAGTTTATTTAGTTTCCACAAGTGGCGCTTAGGGGCGTTACAAGTCCGTCCCTGTTGACTACGCCATCGACGGACTGCTACAACGTGGGGGATCATTACGTTCGAGGTCCCACCACAGAAATAAGGTAAGTTTTTTGATGACTTCATCTGTAAAAGCCTCAACAGTCGAAACCAACCAATACCCAATAAATAGACATGAAAGCCCTTATATCTTTATTTTCCAGAATTGAATTCTTGATAAAATACAAGACAGGCATGTTGGATCATTTTTCATCAAACAATGACGATAAATATATCTTTTGTTAGAGTGCATGAAGACATCCTGGAAGGAAACAATATTCTTACCTGTTCTTAATTCATTAACACAGGTGATAAACAATTAACATCATTCTTTTTTAAAAAATGGGTCAAAAGATTTGTCTTCCCCCCCTCACTTTCTTTCCATGGCTACTTTAGAGGCTGTATTTGTGTCCGCGTAAATTCATCAGGGTTTAAGAGGATAAATCTTTCTTTTCCCATGGGATTTTCATGAGCAAGCGGAATGTTGCTTTTTCTCTGCTAATCTCCGGTCAAGGGTAGAGTGAGGGAAGTTTTGTAACCGTTTGTGTCTCAGTTGATTAAAGTGAGTCAAATAACCTGAATGTTTCTTAATCGAGAAAGAAAATCCGTCCTCAAGTGAGTTCGCTGGACACTTTTTTTCTGTACACTAGGACTTTGTTAGTGTGTGATACACTTCAACAAATAAAGGATGGATTGCTAAGGGAAAACGTCTTGGTTTTAATCTGTTTATTCTCCCTCTACTTAACTGTTTGATTTACTAAATCCTCAGGAAACCTCATGAAAAGGGGAGTCTAATCACTTTAGGCACGAAGTAGCTTGACTTCCCAGTAAAAGGAAGCGATAAGAAAGCATATCAAGAGGCTATCCTTTTCTCATATAGGACAATCATTCTTAATTTCTGATTGAATGCCAAGAGACAAGTCTATGGTTAATCTGAGAGGCCTCACAGACTCTTTCACAATTGGAATGCATTAAAATGAGAGAAGTGGGTGCTCTAAGGTCCTCATGAGGTGAGACCTTGTTATGTTTAAGACACCTCTGATATTCAAGAAGGACGCACTGGTGCTGACTGTGGGCGATTGTTTGCCTAATCCACGGTTGTCTTGTTTTTTTTAGGACTCTTTGATTTCCTAATATGTTGTATGAAATGTCATTATGTGCAAGCTTTTGGTTTCTGACTGTTTCCCTGAATACATAATATCTCTGATAAAAGGTTGTGTGTAGTTCCTTCATTCATGTAAGTGAAGTCAAGTGAATACTGATCAGATTGGTGGTTTGTCGATTCCATCTAAAATGATTAATTCTGACATAAAAAAAAAACATTGCACAACTGCATTTTGTCAGTGAAGATTAGGGGACTGTGGATGCTGATGTAAAATTCCCTTTTGTTAGCTGAATGGATTAGTTTCTTTATGTAAGGTTGAAAAAGGTGCCCATCTCATGGGTCTTTTTAAACTCTAGACTTGTGCAGTTATCTAGTTCTGATCTTACATATAACACTGATAAAAAAAATATACAGCATATAAATTGTTTGAGGTTTATTGGTCCTTCTTTCCCTGCTGGTCTGCTATCAGTTTCCCAGAGAGAAGCAACATCAATTCCAATTAACCTGCAAATGTTAGTAAATGTTATTCTTATGTTCCATCTTTTATCTTTGCTGAGTAACAAGCAAACATCCAATTGTAAGACTTGTTTCTGCATGTGACATGGAAAGATATTGCATAATATTCAAGTTTTCATCTTAGTATGCGAGCATGTTTTATTTAGAATAAAACTATACATCTTTGTGAGAATTTTTGCTTGTGATTTTAAAAAGTTATCCTCAATTTCCCATTGAGTTTCACAATGTTTTATGGCAACCACTGTACTGATGTGAAGACTAAAAAACAAATATTGTGAGATATCAGTGAGAATGTCTTTTATCTTAATAAGGATAAGATGTGTACATTGGTCATGATGATGATTTGTATCCCAGTGGTTATGATCATCACATTATGCAGGTTTCTGTTGGTCTGGGTTAAGCTGTGTGTTGACTTCTCACCATCTCACAACTATTTTCTGTACCAACAGAGACCCTTCCTCAAACCTGGAGATGGTGTTTATATGCCACCGTATCCTACTGTCAATCAGAGCATTCTTGGTCTCATATTCAGGTTTCTTGAAACCAGCTTAAGATGTGTACATGCAAAACACAAAACAAGGATTCTTCAACGGCCCGATCAGACAGTTAAGTGTGTGTTGTTAAAGAAAAAAAAGTAAAGGCTTGCGAAGAAACCTTTTCTACATTTGTCCCAGTATTATATGAATCTAAAGAGTAACAAGTGTTCTGTCTATGTTTCACCCCTCCAGTGTGGTGTGTGTAACAGGCCTTACAGTCTGAGGGGCCCACTAGTATGGCTTAACACTTTTTTCTTAATCTAGTGAAAATGAAACCAGTGACCCTGAGGTGCACCGCTCTGCCTCTTCCTGTAACAGGACTTTAAAAGGAAATTCTCACCAATAATGAAACACATGGTTGCTGCGATTGGCATCACGGCCCAGATCAGTCCCATGGAGGGGTTGTACACTGCCTCTGCTGTGCCCACAATGAATCCACCTCCAACCCATGTAGCTGTAACACACATGCACACACATCACAAAGATATGACACATGCAAAGGACAGTAGCTAGGCTATTTCTGCACATGTGGGTAACTTGGTAACAGAGATCAACCAGTCTCTACTGTATCTTTAATAGGACATTAAAATTGAATAGGAATTTACTGTAAATTTAATGACCAGCGATTACATTAAAACATTCTTGTCCTGACAGTTGTTCGTCACATAAAACCGAAACGAGGGATTTGGTCGTTTTCATAAATATAAATATGTGGACATGCAAGAGGATAAAGAAGAGATTTATAAATATGCACTGACCCAGTTTTCTGCTACTGAATGTGACTCAGCTCGTTTTAACGGTACAAGGTTCCCCTTTTCTCTGTTCTTTCACTTTCTATTGTTTTTGCTCGCGAAATGAAAAAAATGTTTTAAGACATGATTCCGGTTTTTTTTCCTCCTCAAAATCCTTCATGATTTTTTCTTCTATCGGTCAAATAAAAAATAAAATAAAAGATTCATATCATTCTTAGTTGCTTTACGGTTTTTTATTTATTTATTATTATTATTATTAGTGCTCGTTAGATCGCTGTGATAAAAAAAATAAAAATAAAATGATCGTTTTTTTTTTCTTTCCTCCTTTTGAGAACAATACGGATTTGAGACCCAGCAGGAGAAACATATTTAATGGTGTCAAAATAAAACGCTTCGTATGCGCGCATAGAGATTTAGGGTCACGGAGAACACCTTTTAATATGATACACCAGACGCGCTGTATCGTTTTCAGGAAACAATAAAACAACAAGGCGACTCCACGTTGTTGTTCCTGCTCCAGCTACTCGCCTGTCATGGTGAAGATGCCGACCACCAGGTTGATGCCCCGGTTGCCCAGCAGCGCCATCTCCGTCTTATCCCCCTGGCCCTTCTTGGCCTCCCTTTTGGACTTGATGGAAGCCCAGATTCCGATCCCGAGGACCAGCAGGTAGAAGAAGATCATCACGGCCACGCCGGGGATGTTGAGAGCCATGGTGAAGCTGCAGGATTCAGACAGAAGGAGCGCTGGGATGAAACAACATATCCCTCCCTGCTGCCGCGTGAGCAGTCATGGAGGAAATGGAAAGAGACCCAGTGGAGGCGCGTGGAACTACACATAACCCACAGCAGTCTGCCGTCAAGGTGACACATCATTACAGCTACTTGGAATACTTTAATTATATAAGCCAACATGTGCCTGTGTAATAGACTATAAGCTATTCTATATCCGGGATTTCTCATAATAGCCTAGTTATGAGCGTTTTTTTTTTTTCCCCATCACGTATTTAATAATGTTTTTACTATATGTGCCAGGGTCCGCCATTCCTCTTTCAACACTGCCATGCTATCCACAGGAAGCCTCCGACATGCATACAGCTTGACTATTTTTAATTCTTATCTCATCTATATGTCAAAACCGAGATGCATATCACCATCCACTTCCTACTAGCCCTCCTTCATATTAACAGCATTTAACTTGTCAACAATGGGAGAGCTTTTATTATGAAGGAGACAGGAAAAGCTCTGTATTAATTGCCAAGGTCGCTGGTAAAAATTCTCCCTCTCCCATTTACGACAAGCTGTTATCAAGTCATTCAATTTCATGTAAGATGGGGACAACGAAACAAACTCCTTTTGTTTTGCCCATGAAATATAACAAAAAAAAAATAGATAGTCATTGTTGAAGAAATTACGAAGACTTGACTCTGTACAATAAGACTCAGTTGACTCAGATGGCTTACGATGATGAAAGTTTATACATCAGATGAGCACTCATGAGGAAACATGATTCAACATCACACTTCTGTACTCGTGTCTTGCTCAATCACATCTGCCGAACTTCTCGAAAGGCATCGCATATATCCTAAAAGACATTCTCATTATCAGGGTCATGTCACATTGACCCACCTAGACTAAACTGTGACGTCTATAACACTGGAGCAGACAATAAGTCTACCAAACATCCTTGCAGATATCAGGAAGAACAGCTGACACTCTCCAAGCTGTCCTTGGTGTTCAAATAACAACTGAGCTCTATCAGGCCTGACTGACATTAGAGAACAGTGAAATGACATCTGTACATTATAATCTAAATAACTACAGAAATTCCACCACAGTCTATGTAGGCTATTTATTCAATTTTATTGTATTTTTTTTTTTTTTTGGCAATAAAACGATAACATTTTTTCTAGAATTTAACCAGCTGGCCTGCCTTTAGATGACTTGGGCTCATGTATGTAGGCCTATAAGGAAAAATAACAAGGTTAAATGAGACAACGAAGAGATAAACACGCATGGCGCTTAACATGGTAATCATGCCCCCTGTTTAACAACTTACAGGAACATGACATTAGCATTTTAAAAATCCTGGCGGGTAATAAATCAAACAAGCCATCCCTGCCTGGGATTAGCTCCGTGCTTTTTTATGTGTGGATACATTTCTCCATACCAGTCATTAAACCCTCTCATATGACCGGATGAACCTCAATAAAAACAAAACTGTTGTTCTTCATCTTAAGCACACAGATTGCTGTGTAAGATTGTGTTACGAAGTACAAGAGTTTTTATTTTTATCTCAGTGTGGAGGAACTGATGTGGTCTCTCACATGCAGAGCCGGGGGAGGATTTGTTAGAGGGCTGCCCCTTCAACTGCACATAAATACACTGTGTTGGTTGTACTGCACAGTATACCAAGGCTACATCATGTTGAGAATACACGCAACCTACTGATAATTTTTGGTGTTTAATAAATGTAAAATGTGCTGGTAATTTAGAAAAAGTTATATGCTAACATCAGAAATAAGTAACATAAAAGGATGCACATTGCAGGACACAGAATCTGCAGGATTCATGTCGTGAACAGGTTATTCAAAAACCCAACACCAACCTCAAGCTGTTTTTCCCATGATGCAATGCCTGGGCCTCTTTACCGCAACAATAGCTCTGTTCATTGTATCTCTGAGCATCCTGCTGGTCACAGGTCAACTGTAAGGTGACCTGAAAAGATTTCTGCAAAGACCGTCTGAAAAGAGCAGAGGGGGGTTTAACGTATTTTTAAAAGTGCCCTTAAAACGCGACATGTGAACAATGAAGAAAAAGGTCAAAGCTCTGATGTGTTCTTACATGTCAGAGGACTTTAATGAACTGAAACCACTGATTACGTCACAATGTACAAGTCCTACCAGAGCTAATTAACTGCTTTAGTTTATTATATTTGTTATTCATGGACACTAAAAGGATTATGCAAACAACCAAGATTAATGTTGGGCTTTTATTAAACATCACATGTCCAGAAGTGAACTCATCCACTTGCTGTATTGTTCCTGATCACAGCCAGGAAGTGACTGCTATTTATTCAAATATCTTCTATTTATGCTTAAAATAGGAGCACATTGTAAAAAAACTCAGGGTTCTTATAAGGGATGTTACATCATGTTCACTGAGCAGACATCTTTCCCAAAATAGTTCTTACTGAGCGTTCTCTGCCTCCATCACGAATGCGTTCTGTGCCTCTTTATCATCTACGTTTTGTGTCATTTAAAAGAGCTTTCCTACTATAAGAATACATGGATTGAGGTCTAAATAAATATCAAGTGTTCATTTCAACATCACACGTCACAAAAGAGTTCCTGAAATGACATGAATTGGAAGATTAATTTGGTATTGTACTGACTGTAGTGTCAGTAAGCTTGGTGAGCTTGGACGATAGCTGAGGGAAGGGGAGAAAAATGTGGTTTGAGAAGAACTTGTGGAGAAATTGCACTTGTGATATTTGAAATTATTCAGGCACTTGCAAGACAAAAAGCAAGATGACATCACTGTTTTAGTGATATTTAAGAAGATATACTTTATTATTTCGCAAGGGGAATTTCAATTTTACCCGCAGTCGTTGAACATGCTACACACAAATGTGCTGAAATACACACACATGGACAGGACCCTATGGACCGCCACTTCTCCAGCTACCAGACCAACTTCCAGACTTAGTTCACAAGACTGAGCTACACAAATTGTGCTGGCTTACTGTCTATCCTTCTCCTCTTCATTTCACCCTCCCCCCAGTACAAATGAGGGGAATTGAATTTGTTCTTGCTGCTCACAGCATTTACTGTAACAACGCTCTTCCAAAATGTTCTTTTGGAGCGGGAAAAAAAAGTTCAAATGAATAAATCCTATCTTTTCGAGAGGATTCTGCAGTTTCAGAATAATAACCTTTATCAAATTCTGCCAGAAATATTTTTGGATTTTCCATGTGGTCCTAATGGTTATTCATATGATACATGATGACGTTGGTATAAATATTCACTGTACACTATATTTAGTCTGCTATGCACTGCATGTTTTCCTTCCTGTACTAGAGGACGCTGTGTGTGTGTGTGTGTGTGTGTGTGTGTGTGTGTGTGTGTGTGTGTGTGTGTGTGTGTGTGTGTGTGTGTGTGTGTGTGTGTGTGTGCTCGCATGTGTCAGTGGCCGTGAAATGTTCCTTTTAATGAGCTGCTCTGCCAACAACACAAACAGCTGTTTATTGATTGTCCTTATTTTGCTAGATCCAGCCTGTGGGGCCAGCCTCATGTGCATTATTCAGTTTGTGTGCCTGCCACCACAGTAAACTGCTCAGTGGCTCGGTTGTCAGAAACTGGAGCTGACACCTTCACTACTTCACCAGCAGGTCGCTACACTCAGCTCAGTGTCACATTCTTCCAATTTCAAAGTACTTCAGTTTACAAACCAGCATCCCGGTGGCACAGAGAGTTTGAAATGTTTACCAATTTATTTTCTATTGTGTCATTTAAATACTTTTTGAAAATATAGAAAACAAAAACAATGATGTTTACACTCACCAAAACACATCAGTGTGTATAAACATCATATAGAGCTGCGTTGTATTAAATACACTTACAATACATATTACATTACATATTGCATCATGGGTTTGTTTACTCCCATGTTTGTTAGGCAGCAGTTATATTTTTACTGCCTTTCTTGGAACATTTCTACCTTTCATGTTGCAACCACCAGCTGTCGATCACTGAAATAGCATGAAACCATTGACAGAAATGTGCAGCATGTATGCATGTGCATTCTTGTGCACATTACAAATGAAACAGGTACCCACTTTAAATGACTCCATTGTTAAAAAGAAAACTCAACATGGTGCCTTTAAAGGTAAAAAGCATCTTAACATTTCCAAACATATACCACAGGTAATCATTCCTATTGTTTTATACTGATTATTTTACAAATGATATGATTTAGGTTCAGTTTCAGGTGACTTTATTTGTACCCGTAGGTAGATTTGTTTGCAGCCAGCGAGATCGACATCCATCATGGCACACAGATTACAAAACAGATGTAACAATGAACAACACATTAGAGAGAAGGAGAGCTATTAAACCGACCAAAACATGATAAAAAACCTTAAACATTAAAATGATAAACAATGTACTCAAGGTTTCAACAATCAGATCATAAGGGAGAGAGAAGTCTCAACTGATAATATCAATGAAAAACAAAAATAAACAATCTCTTCAGGCTGGGTAAAAATACTTATTGGCCATGAATGAATAAAAGTGTTTATGCAAATATGGCTAAAGCTGTTTTTGTACAGCTTCGTCCTGCACCTTTGGACTAAAAGCCTCCAGAGGGGAGACTGTACAGAGGGTGGGAATCATCTTTTAAAAGCGAGGTAGCTATCTGCTGCAACTGTCTCGTATATAGGCACGCGAGAGAGGACTATTTACCGATCTGATTTAAGGAATGTCTCTTTTAAAGATATTTGATTGAACCCAGACACCAAAGAGAAAGACAAGACTTTAGAGTACAACATATCGTGAGCTCTTAATGAATCTGGTTATGTGAAAAATTACAATATCCTCCTTTGAGAAGAAGTTCAGATATGTGTTAGTGTGTTTGCAGGATTTAGTAAACACAGTCATTCATCATTTTCCTTTTCTATAAACACTTCCATGATTTAGCTGATGTATCCTTACCTGGTACCTTTAAAACATTTGTCCTGGCTCTTAGCTCATTGTATGATTTACACATAATGCACTCAGAAGTTTAATGGTCGCTATCCTTCATTTGTTTTAAACTCA